TCATAGAAAAAAAAACTAATTTTATTTGACACGTACATGATACAATTGAAACTTGTAAAATATGATGAACAATTATTCAGTGATTTGATTTGACAAATAAAACATTGGATCAATGTCATAGTAATTTGCAGTGACAATAATTTCTAAAGCAGAATATGAAAGACGAAGCGATGTATACTTATATCTGTGATATATATATTTGGAAGAAAAAAACATTCATAGGATAGAAGTGTTCCCTTAAAAGCAAAATAAAATGTGTGTAAAACTATAAATAATCGCGATTAACCAGAGAATTAACAAAAAAAGTAAAGTGAACATGCAGACAGTTAAATAAACACAACACAAAAACCGGAAGCGTTTGGACGGATATATAAACTACCTGACGGTGTGGTATAAACATCTTAAGTTAGAGTTTTTTTAAAGAAACAACACAAGTATTCTTATTCGGATTGACAGAAAACAGGCATTAAACAGGAAAATTAATTTATAGTTCATGATGAAATGAACAGAAAATAAGACAGTGGGTTTCAACGAAACTTTCAAATAAATGTTTAAAAGGTATAGATAAAAGAATTTATTTGAAATAGTACTGTTATCAGGTAGTGAAAATGAATAGACAGAAACTAAAACACCACTTGTATCTACAATATATAAGAGGGATGGATATCTTATAAATAGACAAACAAAAAATCTATTCATATAACATAATCTGGAAGACAAAGTGACTATGAAAACAACAAAATTTTGGCGAAATGAAATACACACAAACATGAATAAAATAATACCACTGATAAATGCATTGTTATTGTTTCAATTACAATTATTCACTGTTATGATTAGGTTTATCATTTGGTGTTCAGAATAACCGAAGATGCGAAAATGATACAAATACACAGACTATACATTCAGTTCTCTATTATTTCGCCAGAGAAATCTCACTGAACTTGTTCGAATAATACTGATAATAATCCTTATGATTATTTTTATTTGACTAGAGTTGCTGTATCCGCCTGATTAGGATTCAATAGAACAACTGGAAAACATTTTACATGTGTACGCCAAACTGGAGTGATTTGGAAAAATTTCAAATCGGTCCATTCAACACCATCTATCCAAACTTTAAGGATAAGAAAACACAACATTAACAAAGATGAAACATTGGTAGTGGGGTTTAGGCGTTTGTATGCACCAAAAACATGACAAAATATTGACACCAAGTTACTAATGTACTACTTTATGCTTCAAAACAGTTTGTCTGTAGTAAGCAAACAATCAATAGCGCAATGACAAATCTAGTACTAATACCAGTTACTTCAGAAGCAAGAGTTGAAAATTAAGAATCCAAGTTATATAACGTAAAATCAAAAGTTACTTATCTATATTATTAAAGTGAATTGAAACTACGATATACAATATATGATATAAATAGATAAACTGAGTAGCTTTTCACACTGCAAGATCATATATTACACATTATGGTTCAATAGTTGACTTTGCTATGAACTAGGTGGATGAATCAAAGTCGAAATACTTTCAGGAATTCTAATAACTGATTAAATAGTAAACTCTTAACTTTTAATTATACGATTCTTATAAATGAACTGAAACCATAAACTACTTAATTAGGAGGTAAATAAACCATGCGTATATAAATTCACATGTATCTGCTAAAACAGTTAGATTAGTAGGACAGAAAAGCGAGTCTTCATACGATCCAAAGGATATATTACAAAAAGTCTAAGGTCAAGTGGATTAAAAGCAAATAGTAGTGCCATCTCGAAATACCTCCTTGATACAGAATATCAAGTCGATACACTGAAGCCTTTCAAGGTGATTAATAAACAATCGAGCTCTAATCTTCTAAAATTTTCCGGAGTCATATCAATTAAACGTCTAGAACCAGATATATGCGTCCAAAAAGTAAACAGTAATAAACCTTTCTTTGCCCTGGTAACATCACATCCTTTTTATGGCATCATTCATCACTTCGATTTTTTCTCAAGTTTTAATCACATCATTGTTACTTCCCTTACATTCATAGTTGGCTGACTTCAACTAGTGTCTTTTTTATTACTATCATTCAGTTTCCAGTTAATTCATTACACAATCATCTTATGTTTGTAAACTCTATGATTTCTGGACACTAGTTCTATGTTCTGGAACTTTCACTCTCATAATTTATTTATCTGAAAGAAAAAATTTCTGACCTTAATAACTCCGTTGGAATCTTCGCTACAACATGATAAACACATTCATCTCTAATCATCTTTGTATTTATAAGCATGTCAATATCTGTAATAACATTGATTTTTAAATATTATAGGTTGTAAGCAGCTGATGAGAGTCTAACGAAATAAAATGAATTTATATTGTTCTGCACCAATCTTTGATTTTGCTCTCTTTAAAATAGCAAAACGAACTATGTGTATGAACATTCATGGATAAAGTGATCTGTATTATAAGGTTATATCAATAAGGGAGAAAATCGGAACTTTTATGTTAATATGTTCATATTTCGTCTTTTATGCTTTATCATGTAATTATTACTACAACAACAAAAGTAACTAACCTCTCATCATATGATTATTGTTCACAGTCAACCCTGAAAAACCACAATTACTAGCATTACCACCAGTCAAAGCTAAGCCTAATGCAGATATTGTACTTGAAGTTTTATAATCTGGAGAGCATAGAACATTTGAATCTGATATTAAACCGGCTGATGAAGAATGATGATGACTGGATTCTGTATCTTTTGAACGTTCAGTATTATTAGTTGAACTGGTATTATGCAAATTACAACAACGTCCAGTACATAAAAGACGTTGAATACCAGTAATCAACTCATAACGACAGTTAAGTTCTTTACCTTTACGACCGATAAGCATAACTGAAATATTTGAAAAAGTCAAGAAACACAATGAAAATTGATCAAGTTTTATCGATTGAAAATAGATTCTGTATACAATAATAGAACAAACAGAGAAAAAAATACAACAAAACTGTTAATTAGACAATGATACCAGTTTTTTTTGGAAATAAGAAAACAAAAGTTGACATGTTTAAACCACACAGCATATCAAGATTTTAATTTATAAATTTTACGTTTTAAACTAAAACACTGTTTATCTATTAACATTATTTTTGTCAAAAAAGCTTGTTGAAGTTGAACGACTCGTTAAAATTACTTATAAGAAGTTTCATTTTATAACGATTAAAGACGATTACAACAATATCGAAGACTTCTAAAGAGTTGTAAGAAATATCGATTAAACACGGAGTCGAATGTGTGTTACCAGAGAGAACATACGAAATGAGCTACGGAGGAGGTTAACTATGAATAAGTGAATAATGTGGAAGAATATTTGAGGTTTCTGGTTGGAAGTTTCAAAGAAATTTCGGTTTATCTAAACAATCTGTAGTATTTCTAATTAAAATTACAATGAAATGGTATATCCGTCATAGAATTGCACATATAAACAGTAGACTAGTTTGATAATAAACATTCTCGGTCCTTTATTTATCCAAGCAGAAAAATTATGGACAAGTATAGGACCAAGAACCAAATCAATGGTAGATATAATAAAAAAAAACTAGACAATGACAGGTTAAAGGTCAACAATAACTAATCAACATTGAGGTCCACAGAAAGAGAAGTGAACAATATATGGAGAAATTAGAACACTTCACTTCTAACTGAAGTTTGTGTTGATGATGTCGCTCAGAATAACGATGAAAGCTCTGCGACTAAATCAACCAGCTCAGAGAAAAAACTCCAGCAAAAAGAAGATTTATTACCTCATATTTCCTCAAGATTGATTACTTTTAATATTCGAATACTAACTCGAGTGCTGAACATATATATCAAGAGAAACCAGATTTCTTGAAATATATATATATATATATATATATATATATATATATATATGCCATTTTCATAGAAAGGCGAACAATATCCATTAATCCATAAATTGTTAGTCTAATATTGATTGGTTTCAAGTTAATTTCCAAATAAAAAGTTAGTTTATGAGAGAAACAGAACTTTTGATTGATAATATCGGTCTTAATAGAATAATTGCTCAGTGTGTTTATTGGTTAATTATACATAGATCGTAAACATGAACGAAGTATAGGTCAATTAAAACTGAAGTATACAATAAATAAAAATGGATAAATTCGAAAATAGTTCTAAATTCAAGTATTTTATCATTCCTGGTACTTATCAAATATTGGAATGAGCTATTCAAAAGTCATCGGACTTCTGATAGTCGGACTATATAAACATATGTTGAGAGAAAATGAGTGAGTAAATTAAAGTGGGTGTAATTACATTTTTAAGACCATATTCATGTACAGTATTATTACATACTCGTTTTAAGGTTAGGATTTATGTGAGTGATCTAGAGCTATATTTTAAGTTTAGAGGTTAATCACACTGCTCGGTTGCTAAAGTTAGTAAGTCAGCTACATCGCAGGACGAGGCATATATATGCATCGGTCCAAATTGCCACACTTCATTAGCACAGCAAGATGAACACCAAATTCATAGAAGCAGTTACTTAAATGGTAGTAATATATAAAAGAATGTGTATAATGTTGTAGTATCTATATATGTACAATAAAAAATTCATTTTAAGTCGGTAAACACATACTTTTTTGTTTTTTTTCCTTTGTCCATAATCCAAGAGCGAGATGTTGAGTATGTGTTTGATTTAAATTGATTTGTACATGACGAATTGGTGAACAAACTAAACTGTTAGAATGGGATTCCATACCATAATTAAATATGTCACCATTACGATGTGGCGAAGATAACATAGGACCGGTTGTATTGGATGACGAATCTATCGTAACGACCAAACCAGGCGATATAGTTTTTATAGTAGAACGTCGCGGTGGTGATACAGGATCCGATGTTGTACTTGGTGGACTTGTAGGACAAGAAAGAGCACTGTTAGTATTGATATTATTTGAAACAGAATTCGCAGATGAAAACGACGAGGACATTGAAGTAATTTGACTACTGCTACTTATTGTTGTAGTCTGACTAGGTATCGACCAGTACTCTATTTGAATATCCCAAAGGCGTCGATCGGAACCGAATATTGGTGACTGACCACTTCTTTGAGTAGAAGAATGTGATCTATATTTGCCAAAATAATATTAATAAATGGAGTAGTTAATAGTAACTTGGAAAGAAGTATGAATTAACATTAAAATTCATTGTTAGGATTTTATTAATGCGCATTATGAAGTATTTAGTAGATTAATTTAAAAAATATTTGTAATAAAAAGCAGCAAAGTCAAACATAGTTAAGTCATGTAAAGGAAAATAGAATATCACTTGCATATTGTTAAAAAGCTGCACACACATATTATGATTCAAAGTAACATGAATAGAAAGTGCGACGAAAAAAATATAATTTTAGTAAACAAATTAGCAGCTACAAGAACGTGTCAAGTGTTTTGCAAAAAATAATGTTGGTGAAATGTCTTAATTGTTCCATTAAGTAATAACCAGTGTTGAGTTTCGGCAGTAATCAAATTTTATCGGCCAAGTTACAATGTGACCGTTGGTCTAAGTGACTCGAAATCAAGTGCACTATGCGTTGCTACTAGGTGTTTGGAGTCAGTTAATAACAATCCATCATTTCCTTGACAATGGCTCACATGATGTAGGAAGCACCAATTCCTTTGGTGATTGCAAATATCCCCTGCTAACAAGCCTTGAATAGCAAGAGAACTGGATTCAGAGTATCTTGCCTCCAAACTCTCAAAATCAATATTATAAAATTATTACAAGTCTCAACCGACGAGGCCCACTTTATGTGATAAGGTCTTATTCGAATTTATCATGAGAAAATAACTTTATGTATTATTCAGTGTGTTTACTGCCTTGGATTTCCAAAATAATAAGAATTACTAGGAGGAAACTGTTAGTAAAATGGCTGAAAACCAGTCATAATATTGAACATAAAGCTGTAACCTATAAAAATCCTCGATATTATTGTGAAGCAACATTTCGGAGACATGAATTTAGGGTAAATGAAGAGTCCTAAAAAGTGTATATTTATTAGACTCCACGTATGAAAGATACGGTATTCTAATATACTTTGCAAAACAGAAAGACCTTTGAACATTCAGTGATTCTTAACAATATCGATGTAGCGCGCTCAATGTTAAAATGATATATATACAAGGAATATAAATTATAGATTGCTTTTGTACATAATTATCACAACGTTTCAACATAAACACACACACACGCATAAAATTCGACAAGATCCAAATAGTTTGTTAAATCACGGATAGAAAGTTCATCTATATTCAAAAATCTTTTTTGACTGTATGTACTAACTATTGAATGACACATAAAATAATCAGAAAACATCTTGATCAATCTCTGCGTAACAATACGATAGAATTATGTCTAATGTATCATATGAATGAATTCCTGTAATCAGTTTCTTTTTTTTCAATTCATTTTTGTAACTTTAATGGAAATTCAGTCAAACTAAAACTAAAATATCCAAAGTAATAAACTTTGTTTAAATGAGAAATAATAAATAAAAACACGTAATATCAGTCAGTCAGTCAGCTACAACGTAGGACCAGGCACATATGTGCATCGGTCCAGGTTGCCATACCTCATTAGCACAGCAAGATGAACAGCGGATTCATAGGAGTGGTTAGGTCAAAGGTTGCAATAAGGATATAGTATAGGAAGAAAGAATTAGTTCGTAGACAGAAAGAATGAAGTGATTTTAGTCTCTTAGTTTAAGGGAAGACAGGGAGTGTATACACCGACGCCATTGTGAATATTTAGCATTAACTATTACTGGGCATGATTAGAAACCTTAAGTGATTATATGATCGCAATGTTCATCAAATCAATTATTATAAATGAAGTAAAAAGGCCCGCAAATTAAAAATATTTCTATGGTTTCAATTGTTTTATTAAGAAGGAAATATACGTATATTTAGGTGGTTTTCTTCGGATAAAAGACTGGTGTAATGCTCTATGAAATATTTAAATCTCCGTAGTTATTTGAATGAGGAAACGTGTAAAAATAAATGGTACGAATGAAATTCAAATGCATAAAACACATTCCCTAGAGAAACGAAATATATTAAAAATACGTCATACATTATACAAAAAGACAAGTAGAAAGACAATGACATAAAAGAAACAACTAATTAATTAGGCAAAACTTAATTTAACAAACACAAATACACGTTGATATAATGACTTCGTTTACATTTGGTAAGTCAGAAATAATCATCTATATAAATATTATGACAAAATTAAAAGTAAACATATGAGTTTGTTAGTTTGCACACCACTGATAAACAGAATGAAAGTCGACTATTGATTTTCGTAATAAAAATCAGAATTTAACAGTTGAATCATGACTTTGAACTATTAGATCATACATTTGACCTCTCTCCGAGACGCATACATATTTCAATTTGAGTAGTTGAACTACTGATGGCACACATACTGATACAAGATGTGGGGCAAAGTCGCGTACATTAACACATGCTTGATAAATAAGTTACACCGACATTCATTTTCGAGAATTTAATTTTAATCAATCTTATCCGCGTTGCTTATTTATTAGTATATTAATCAGTATTCGTATATTTATCAAGTTTCCAAAAATGTCATTCAGTTAAGACATCTGAAATTAAGGTTACTGTCGTCGATTATTCAGACCCTTGAATACGGTACACAGTAAAACAAAGTTAAATCCCTACAATAGTATCATATCAATCAAGAATGAAGATGATTCTCGATGATTGCTACCGAGAAGTGCGAAACTCTGGTCCAAGGTTTTCATAGCAATTACCTTTAACTATCTGAAACAGATTTATAATCTATTCCACGGAAAATTGTTAATGTTTAATTATTATCATTATTTAATTTGAAGAACAAAATTATAACAGAAACGTGTCAAGTAATCCATGTTTAATTGAATCTATCTTTATGTTGCCGCAATGGGCTTGTGAGGGTTTTTAATTAAAAACACAATCACGAGTCGATCAAAGTTAGACAATCAGTGAAAACCTGAAGGCACCGGATGGACGTTTCATCCTAGCATGGGGCTTCTCAGAAGTGAACATCTAGGTTTTCACAGGTTTTCTGAGTTTGACCAACTCATGATTTTATTGTTAATCAACAATCTCCACAACACATAAAGACAATTATCATGAGCTCAGCTCATTAGTGACCAGCTAAAAAAAGACATTTCCTGAGTTCTAGTGAGAAACTGTGGAGCTAACCCATGTCGGGTGGTCGCGCAATATCGTGGATTGATTGTAGTTAGACATTAACACTACAGGGTGCCAGTTCAATGGTCTAGAGGTTAAGCATCTGTTTGCGAGACCGAAGGCCATGGGTTTCATCCCCACTTGTGGGGTCGCCGATGTGCACCACTGAGAAGTCTCACACTGCAATGAAATGGCCGTCTAGTGCCTCCAGGTTTTCAATCGTTGTCCAACTTTGATCGGATTGTGATTTTATATTCATATAGAAATGTATATTATCCCTAAAACATGAGAATTTTCACCTTGAAAAATATTTTCGAATTGATATATACACACATGCCCACACAGTACCAACATACGAAGGAATTTTCACACATTTTTAAATTGTAGATCATTTTACAATAAAAAACCAACTAATGTGTTAAGAAAATTGAATGATCTTGTTCACTAATGATAGGTCAAAATAAAGATACACAGAACAATAAGGTGGTAATTGTTATATAGTTTTTCACGTTCGGAAACTGATTAACGGGTTGTACTGTAGACATTTTATTGTTATCCACTGTTATTATTCTAGCTTAAAAACTAGTTTATTTCACGATAAGAGTATATGTGAAGAAATTTCTCATAAAAGTTTAAAAATATATAGGTTATTTTAATAGGTGTTTATACAAACACATAACAAGTAAATTTCTCACATACACCAGGAACTATACGTTGTGTGTCTTAGTTCTCTCTAAATAGAAAAATATATACTGATGAAACCACGTTTGAAAAAAGAAAGCCAAGTTAACGGCAAACATCATAATATTGAAGGTGTTACATGCAGAAATTAGACTAAAATTGATTATTCCAGCAAGGTATTAGATAAATGAGTGGAAGAATAATGGACAATAAATTGTGTAAAATAGTTGTAAATCGAATAAAAAATACTATAAATAACACACATAAATACAGAGACAAAACCTTTGTTAACTTCGTAACACATGCATTGTGTAAATATACTGTTTGTGGTTCAGCTAAATAATAAGCTCAAAACCAAGGCATAAAGTTTGCTGGTTAGAGAAATGGTATTTACTATTATCGTATGCAGTATAGAATGTAAATGTTTAATGTACCCGGGTAGAATATCAGACAAACGTGTAGTAGCGGTAGTAGTAGTAATACTACTACTAGCACTATTCCTGTTGTTATTAGTTCTAAAAGATCCATTTCTCCATGAAGATTTTCGTTTAAGTAGTGTTTTATGTGAACGAAATGATAGTGAAAAGTTTCGACGTATTCTAGTCATATAAACAATGGAGAGAAAAATAAACGGTAACAACAATAATAGATGACAAATAAATATCAATAAAAAGAAACAATTTTAAAATGATTAGAGTGAAATAATCAAGGAGAACTGATCCAAGAACACGATAACTTTCTCATGAACAGTAGCAACACTTTTTATCTAATTTCTCAGGCATTGATCTCTCACTTGAAGGCTTATTTGATGACTGAGGGTACTTAAATAGAACAGTTCTCCTCGATAAAGGTGCCGGAAAAATTGGAAATGAAGAATGTGAGCGCTGTGAATATCTCACTTACATTCGAAAACACCATAAGACCTCAAAACGCTTAAATGCCTATTGACAACTTCCGCCACCTATGTTTGTCTATTAAAGAACGAGTATATTGCTTAGGCACTCGTGATGTTTTACTTATGGCTGTGAAATGTGACTTATGAAAGTAGAAAATATTCATAGGTTATGAGTAATCGGTCACATATGTTCTCAAGACATTGCGTATTAATTGTGGGGCAACGAACAAACCAATGTTGAAGCTAGACACATGGTGCTAGGTTGGTAAGGCTGTGAATCATCGGCTCATTTTGTTGGAACACGTAATACGTATGGTTAACTACCACCTATCTTGAAGTGCAATGTTGGTTGGAGATTTCGCTTATGACACTATGGTTTCAGCATCAATATTCTTGCATCATTGTTATTTTTGAAGTAACTAAGTTACGATCCAATACATATAAATATAAACAGATAGATAATATCACAATAGGTCCAATTACAATTTTGTATATAAAAAAAGCTAGTAAGTTTTAATAAAGATATTTGTTTACAGACACGTTGAAATCATCGTAAGGATTATACCATAAGGTGAACCAAAATAAAAATCAATAAAAGCTGTCGTTTAATATATATAGTAGTAGACTAGAATTATTTAGATAACGGCTATTTATTCTCCAAGTAAAAATTACGGAAAGACATTCGATATTGGTTACTAATTACACAACAGCTAAGTGCATTGTCACACAAGCTTAAAACTATGAAATGATAGTGACTGGTCGATTAAAAACTACCTTTTCCATACTTAGATGACAGCATTTTTCGCTACAAGTATCATGTAGGAACAGGCATCAGATGAAAAGTCAAGTTTAGCAATAGCAAAAAATCGTAATACACAATACTCTTTGTGATAATACGTTTAACGGATAGAATTGTTCAGCTGATATGCTATATAACATTATCTGTGAGAGATCTGTGGAGAGCATTTATGTAATTAAAATCTAAACAACTGGCTAGGTAATTAATTATGGATGTGTGTATGTTTCAATAATATTGACCTTCAATTGGATAAAACGCGAAATCCAGTCGAACCAAATTCTAGATTCCTTAACATCTCATTGGATTACTAAAGCCTTCTATATGTGATTGTGTCACATCATGTTGATAATAAAGTTTGTAACTGAATCAATGTTTCTTAGAAATGATGATTTGTTTCGATAAAAAAAAATCACATTGCTGTAAGATGATCATGGTAATTCTTTATAAACAAGTTATATTGCCGTATACATAACTTTCTAAAGTATACTAATTTCCCGTTTGTTCTTTAATTCATGACACTGTTCAATGTCTTTATCTACGTTTTTATTTCTCTTTTAGCTTCTTCCATAGGACGTTCAATATGTTTTCATCTTAAAATTCACAAGCTGGTATTAAAATCATAATAAACATGACTTCCGATATTGCACACAAATTTCTCTTTACATTGAAGAACCTATTTAAAAGCTGACTAGTTAAGTTTTTTGAAAAAGATAACCATGAAGAAACAAGTGATTGCATTTAAACTCCAATATAAATCTTAACATCAAGGTTATGTTAATCATGCCTATAAGAATGATTCATTTTCAAGAAAAAAAAGCCAAGTAATAATCTAATGAAGAATTCAGATAGGCTGGAAAAACTAAACAAAGTACAACCAAATAAAAATTAAAGTAGAGAGATCAGAACATTAGAACATTTTCAATACGATTTAACAGGAAAAAAACGGAAAAGAAAGCCTAAAATAAAAACGAAATCAATGTACTTAACATAGGAAGTAAACAACTGTTGAAATTGAATAAATCGAGAGTGAAAAAGTGTTAAAAGACGAAAGCGAAGAATAAGAAAAGCAAGAATGAAAATAAGAAAACCATTAGTTGGATAAAAATTAATTTCCTAAGTAATGATTTTCAAAATGAAAATAGAGTAAAATAATATTACGTGAAAAAAGGTCGACAGAAAGAAACAATGATAAAAGACATAAGGTTCTAATTGGTATATACTGAATCCCAAACATTGTGATCAATTAGTCCATTATAACCTTATCCACAGAATGATAACTAAATTATATAAATTGCTGTAACTGTTATATCCGACGAAAACTAAATCAATGGTAGCGGTCAGGATTAATTTATGGACTATTATAATACATATATTATCACTGTATAATTATTAACTAACTAGATTATTATATACATATTTCTTTTATCATAGATTTCCTTTGACCCACTAACTACTGTCATATGATCAACTATTCTTAATCTATTGCCAACTTATTATTCGCAGTCTCCCCAACTCATAACCACTGCAAGCCTTGGCCGATCTGATTAGTCCAGATAGAGTTTTGATTGCCAAAGTTGCACCACATATACACCAAAAACCTCTTTGATTCAGTCTAACTTACATATCGTAGATTTGTTGATCATGAATGAAATTCATGATTAAATAGTGGGTTTTATAAAACCGATTGCGCTTGTTCAGATGTATTCACTTTTATCATTTTGAATAATGAACGAAGTTCTATGAAATCCTATTTTATTTATCAACGTTAATTCATTAATGTTATTTCGAATTTCCCACTAGCAACAGTGTACTCATTATTGTTTTCAAGTCTTCTGTCTTTTCTCTTATTATTTACCTATTGTCATGGTGTGATCTGTTTCCATTTGAATCAGATTCCTCATTGTATTTATATCTGCTCGACTAGATAGTAATTAAATTAGTAAAAATCAAACTAATTAATGTGCCTAGTTCATATGGATTACATAATGAACTAAATACATTACGTGAATCTAGTTAATAGAAAAAAGTGAAATTAGGAAAGGTTCAATAAGTACATTTTGTCCTGATATAATTACAGCTCGATAACCTTTAAAACGCATAGAATATTCACCGTATTGTAGATGGAGTAGCGTTGATAGAATTTAGAATACATTAAATTCAGGAAACAGAACAATTTAAAAATCATTTCTACGAAATATGAGAATCTAGAAAGATGTGCTAGCATATTTCAATTGCCCACAATTGAAATCAAAAACTAAGTGTATTGATGGTAAAAATTCAAGTAATTACAAAATCCAACAATATTTGTGTCGCCTTAGTAACAGTTACCGTAACGATTTACATACTCCACGTATATACGGAATTATTGATACAAGAAACTTAAACGATAATAATAAATTAGTTAATAAGAACATACACTAATTAAAACTGTACATTACCTTGGTGCTATGGTTGCATTATGTGAAACTGATTCAGGACTAATATTACGTTTAGTATAAGATTGTTCTGGATCACTAGGTGTTTTAAAATCAAAGTCAGCGGTACTTGTATTAGTTACTACTGTAGATGTATTAAATGAATTAGAAGATGGATCGGTAGTAAACGATCGACTAGTCTGCTGTTGGTGTTGAGATTTAGTCTGTGTTGGAACAGTTGTCAATAAGCCAGGATAATTTAATGTTGAACAATTGCCTAGACGAACATTTAAAATGAATGGAATAACCATTTCTTCATTCTGAATATTATTATTACCTAAAGAACATAAAAATAAAGTAAAATGTAGAATTTTAATGAGAAAATAATTTTTTAACGTTCTACAACTGATAAACTAAAGGTGTCAAATGAACCTATGTTTCAGTTTCTCTTTATTACTTCAATGTTTGACTGAGAAATATTGAATTGTTTATTCATTAGGATACACACGTTTAATAATTACTTTTATTCGTACAGCTGTTATTGTAATGTATGCTGCATATGTTGAAAAATAAAAGTAGAAAGTAGCAGCAATCGAGAGTAGAATGCCTGCCAGTAGAAGATTGGGATGAAGAGAAAAGGAAGGAAATCGAAGAGCGATTGAAATAACAACAGTTAGAGGAACAGTGGAGTATGTAAAAAAAAAGCTGTTCAAATGATGTTTTTAATGTATAATTGTCATATTTTTCCAAGTCACTCTATGTATTAAACAATAAGTTCGTTTTCCCCACCTGAGTTTTTGTTTACTACACTAATACTATTCTTTAGTGGCTACATTTTCTACGTAAGTTCATATAAAAAGCAATGTATACATTATTGAAAATAGTAATTATTTACTCAGTTATATACTTTACGTATAAACATTGACTATTTATTACATAAATCAAATAAACACAAACATCATGAATAAAAAAAGAAAGAACACAACATTAAGAACTATATATTCAACCGTAAAGTAAGGTATCTAAGAGTGAAAGAAATGTGTATTCAATGGGTGTCAGTAATTCATAATAATTAACAGAGTTTGTCATATAATTTTAAATCGACTAGACTATTTGAATTTTTTTGTCTTGAAACATTACTTTGTGATTTGAATTGTTTGAGTTTCAAATTAAAATCACAGAGATAATTTCATTAAGTCAACTTTAAGTAAATGTATGCTAGGATAAGTACTTTTACGAAAAGATATTCCGTTGCATACATTTCGACTAACTAAAGTTACATAGAAATTGAAGAATTAATCAGTGACAAGAATAATCCCTGTTAGAACACATTTAATTTAGATACATAGAAAAGGATGAATTATTTTTGAATCATCTAGAAATTTACATTTACAAAGATTTGTATCTATAAAAAACGGTTAATACTTTTAATGAATTACAGTCTCGATTGTAAAGCGCAACGATTATTCTATGATTTTGAGAATCCGTTTACAAGAGAAAAAAAGTATGTTAAGTAACAAACCTGGTAGCTAGGTATTAATTTTATTTGCTCGCGACTAACGAAATTTGTATCTCCCGATCGTTTATGCATTAAATGACTTCTTATTAGGCTTTTTTGTGTTTAGTCCATTTTATAAATGTATTTTATTCTCAATAGTTGAGATCATGAGTCAATTGAAGCTAGATCACTATGGAAAACCTGGAAGCACTGGATGGTCGTTTTGTCCCATTGTGGGACTCCTCAGCAGTGCACATGCATGACCACGCCTCGCGAGATTTGAGCCCACTAGACCACTAAGCCGGCATCTAACGGGAAGAAAAAACTCGTTTCACTTAACTAGTCTTCTGATAACAGTTTATTAGGTGATATTGGTCGATAATTCGGTTGGATTCACATATGAGGATATTCACTTCTGTCAAGTGATAATAAAAGTCTAAATTTCTCAGTCATCTTCTTTGTTTATGGAATATGAAGCGCTAGCCCCTAATCCAAATCTATTACATCAACAACAACAAAAATTAAAGGCATTTAACAGTATGACTTTGTTTGTTTTCAGACTAATGAAACCATACCTGAACAAGAAATCCCATCTGAATAGCAAGCATTTTGGTCTGTTATTCCTTGACCTGACTGATTTGCAATATTTATATTGGTTGAAGATAAATTTGACATCGCATTAGTACAGTCTGTAGTTAGAGATTTTTGCATTTTATTTACATTAGTTGAAGTATTTTTTGATGAGCCAAGAAGACATGATCCAATAGGAAATGGATGGACATTTCTACCATTTGTTAAATATTTCACAATACGATTAACCAATTCAGATCGTAGCACTAACAAATCTAAATCATTCATCGTAGAATTAACATCGACAGAAGCAGACTCATTGCATAATTCTGAAAATAAGCTTCCATAAATTGGATCAATTTGACAAAGATGAAACGTAAACAGATTGTTAAAGTAATTTGATCCATGAATTGATGGTAGCGAAGTACGATCAGAATCTGCTGTATAAGAAATACATAAGGCAAAAAAAACGCAGTGATTTTTTTCTTTTTAAAATAAAAGATAAGTATAGTACTACAATATGTGTATATGAAAATTATCATGATTATATGGACACAGATATCAGGCTTACAATCATGCAATGTAGTTAACGGGAGTTTCGTTTTATTTTTTTGGAGTTAGACGAAAGTAACTGGGAGCTTGATGTTTATTAAATCTAATCGGAAGTGATTGTCTGGTAGATTAGATTATTTATTATATACTTTAGAACTGGATAAAAACTCATTTTGAACATAGCGTACGTGATAGAAATTCCAAGTGAAAATTTATTATTATTGATAGTTCTATGGTTTTCATGACTCTTATCATAAGCCTACAAAATGACCTTAACTGTTTTGATGTTTTACATATATGTGCTTATGCATAATATATCTGGATATTAGAGCAAAGCTTTAAGAGAATATAATTAGAAACAATATTTGATGTTAGGTGGTTGGAAAGAAGTAAACTCAAATCTGATTTATTTAAGCACTAGATAATATTATTATTACTATTCCATAATCAATTCGTGAAAACTATAATGTTCATTGATATGTTCTCGTTTAATAAGAACTTTTAGTACTCTTCAGAGGCAAAAATTGTTGTTGTTTTATTTTTAGAAAAATAACAACAACCACGAGAATGATTAAATGAACAAAATAAAATCATGAATGACTAAATACAAAATACAGTGAGAATAACTTACAATCATTCAGATTAGATTGATTACATCCAGTGTTACATGGTGTATCCATTGTATGCTGCTGCCGTTGTTGACTACCAACTTCTGATATCTGATTAGTCTTCATTAGATTGTTCCGACTTCGTTGATGTTGTAATGCTGATGAATGATGAATAAATCTAGTTAATCCATCAATTGGTATAATGAAAAATCGAAAAGCAGTTATCAATTCTGTAGATCTACAACTTAATTGATCAACATAAGCACGTAAGACAAGATTAATTAATAAATTTCCACCGAGTATACAAATTTTAATATAATCACCATCGGATATACGTCGTGTATAGCTTTGTGCTTCATTAGCCAAACGTGTGAAAATTGTACGCATTTCAATGAGTGAATTTACGTTAAATAAACGTAGATTTAATTCAGATAGTAGACTAAATACAATCTGCAAAATTGAACGAATAAAAAACATTTTAAAAACTTAATTAATATGAATATTAGTAGCATAGAGCAAGTGCGGAGATTGTTTAACTTGTAGTTCACTTTAAAACTAGATGACTAGTGAAAGTCTAGAAACATTCGGTAACTGTTTTTATCTTGATATAGGACACCTTAACAATTCATATGCACGAGCTTCCCATAAATCGAGCCCAAGATCTTCACCAGATGACTGAAGGTTGAAATGTGAATACTCATATGCTTACACAGTAGTCTAAAAATCAAGTGGTTGCTGAGAGACCTGAAGATCCGGGCTTCGATCCCTGGATAGATCATAGATGTGTACTGTTCAGGAATCTTATACTAGGACGAAATGACCCTCTAGTTATTCTTGATTTTAAACAATTATCTTGATAAAGTCTGATCATGATGTAAACTGTATGTACGCTACTATGTGAACTATGAATTAAAATTACAATATTAGTAACGCATAATCGATTTAAAAATAAATGCCAATGTAAGATTATACTAAAATGAAGAAAATAAGGTAAGGAAATATAAATAAATGAACGATAACAATCCCTCAAGGAAAGTACCACGAAAGATTTATGTCAGTTACAACGGTTCATTTCATTATCTACGAGGTTTAGCTATAACCTGATAGTTCTAGAAAACATCAGGAGACATTATGCAGGTAGTCTATAAGTTTTCTTGATAAAACTACTAGTCTATGGTTGTAAGTAAATATAAAATTATTCTGATTTTAAAATACCAGTTTACAGGTCTTGTGATTTTTTATGTATTTATTGTACTAAGGTGAAGAATATGAAAATCCATATCATATATTAGTGCTTTTCCCAGCAAATACGAACAAATTATCAATAACTTGAGTGAAATCATCCAGGTCCCAAAGTAGAGGGTCAGATAAATAAACGCAAGTATGGTGAAATATTTTACAACGAAATGTGTAAAAATATTGTTTGATATTGAATACACAATCATGTGTTTCGAAGTATATTATTAAAAGGTCCGAGGTGAAATTGACTAAAATTCTTTTTTTCTTCCCAAACAAGAGGATGACCACCAAATCAGTTTGAACGACACTGATGTTAATGAAGCTTACAGTTATATACATTGTTTTAAAAAGAATGTTCATAAGTCATATTTTAACACTTTGGTCTTCAACATTGAATTTTCTTGGTTAACTGACACTGAGAGTTCGTGTGAAGATGAGCTTTAATTTTCCTTCTCAGTCGTTTACGTACATGACAACAGATGTAAAAGGTGATTGTTGATCAATGTTAATGATAAGAACTGATTAAATGATTATGAATCAGTTACTGGTGTTGAGAATCTTGTCGGTGCAGCTGTTAACTGAGAGGTCACTTTATTTTTCAGCAATCGGATCGCGTTACGTCTTTGTTTATTCTTCCTACTGTGGAATAATTGTATTGAACTTAGAAAATTCGATCACATACGTATTTTATCTACTTGCAAAATATATAGTTGCTTATTCCTATATTACATAAATTATTGACAGATAGTTTCGGGTGATTATAAATTTCCGGACGATGTACGAATATATCAGTACTATTTTAGGAGTGTACTAAAATGGAATATGGCAATATATACTTCATTCGGAGTCGGTAGCTGAACTTAAGTGCTTTTATACTCAGTATGTAGTTACTAATTGCATCAAACACAGGATAACTTTCAGACGTTCTTATAAATTTCACCGGTGATATTTGAATTTTTCAGTCTCATCAACAACCAAGCAGATGGAGGAAATTTTTTTCACGAATTAGAGGCGACATGATATCCTGTGATTATTTTGTCCGGCACATCTCTATATACCTTTCGTATTCTTGCCTGTATCTAGGTAACACACCATATAGATAAACAAAAGAACGAACCCAATAGTGGCGAACTTCTTGAACAGGTTTGTGCTGATGAGACTCACGAATATTGTTTTCAGACGAATTGCAGATTCACATTATTGTTTACATGTATTGAATGCTTAATCTGTTGTCCACTTGAATTGGCTCTTCTGGTGGTTTATCGTATTTTCAACAAAAAAACGTATTAATGGAGTCATATTACGCTAGCAATATGAATCTTCCCATCTAAGGTGAATGCTGTTTTCTCAAACTGTTTGGTATTTCATGTTTAGATAATATCTATCACATTGGTTCCACTATATGACGAATGTATCATATCAAAACTAACTAGATTTTTAGTTTCAATAAGACAGTATGGAAAATTAAAAATTGAACATCATCCTGAAAATAATAAATAGGTCGGTCGGTTTACGTTTAAACATAAAAATATGAATTATTAACCCCGTAGAGATTAACGTGTTCCACTTTCGAACATGTGTTTGCCTAAACCGAATTAAATGAATTGGAGTTTAAAGCGACAAAACCAACCGATGAATATTTTAACTATTAAGCCATCACAGAGACTTGACAAGGTTTCTACAGGCTAGGTTATGAACAAGTATCAAATCTATTACCTAGGTTCGTATTACGCCTAACAAAGAAAACTATATGGATGGAGGAGTCTGTTATTTTGACCAGATAAAGCATACATCATGTTATTCACACCAATGAGGAATGGTTTTAGCATTGTGTATAAATACAAAGATGTCAGCTTCATGAGAAAATAACTATGGTTGAAAAGTACTCGAAAGATAACAAAGCAGAGTTAAAAATAATGCATCAAATGATCTTACTTTTCCAGATTTTTCGAAACTACCAACAATAAATGTGACACTTGCTAGTTTTTCTAAATTTGACGGATTCATTTCCGTAGAAGTCTAAAAAAAGAGCAACAAGAATATCAGATGAGAAAAATTCAACAAAAACTCATTTTAAAAATGTAACATCCTTTTACAGATTTGTAGCACAGTAGCTCAGATGACTACTTATAAGATTATACATTTCGCAGTCTTATCATTCATCTATTTATTCCAATTTATTAATTTGTAAATACTTAATTTATTGGTATTTACACCACTAAACAGCTGGATTCAACACACTACTAATATTGTATAGTATGTATGATAAAAGCTACAAATTATATTTTGTTAAAATACTTACCAATCAAACTTCTTATGAGGTGTTTACTGAATCCCATAACAACAGAAATTACACGAAGCTATTACGCAAAACAGAAGTGTGAAATACTAGAAAATTTCTATATGAACAAGGAAATCATTCAAAAGATAAGAATTTAACATATGTTCAGTAGCTTTTTGCTTATTTAATAATCGTCTTGTGACTAAATGAATGGTCAGACGACAAACACGTGTACTCTCCTTCAAGTCATGTTTTGGAAATTCCTGTCATATTGTCAGTCTTCTTATCATAACTCATTAGACAATTCAATTCTCTTTTAAATTACACTTGATTAGTGTTTTGAAAAGATACTAGAAAATCTGATACAGTTCATCATAACAATAATCTGAGATAAATATGTCCTGGATACAACTTATACTTCAGATGAAATTTTACGATTTCTCTATATGAAATTATTTATTCAAATGTTACTATCGAGTTCCAAAATGAATGACTAATTTAATCAGACAGTTATAAAACTGTAGAAATGGGGAAAAAATATGCATCGATCCAAGCCACCACATCACACATAAGTACAAGGGAAATATAATGAGTAGAAATTTAAAAGGTAATGAACTATACTATAAGCTTTTTCAGAAAAATAAAATTTTATTAAGACTGATTAAAACGTATAACAAAATGTTGAAATTCCGAAGTTTAACAAAAGATAATAAATGAATACATCTGTACCACTGAAACTGATTTCGAGACATATCATTTAAGGTAGTCAATCAAAACTAAGGTTATCTTTTTCGGTATGCATCATTTGTGTGTTCTTCTCAGGTCAATGAATAACGTGTTAACAAATACATTCTACAAAACAAAAGAATGTTATTTTGTCTTAATTGTATTCTGTCATTATGAGAAAAACAGTATCTTCAGATTGATCACAATTATATTTTAATAGTTGAATTCATGAGTCGATGTAAGCTAGACCATTAGATTTTCAATGGTGGTCTAGTTTACATACTCATGAATTCAACTATAAAAATTACTACAATCTCTACAAAACCTATTCTGATCATGATCATAAATAATTTTAGAATAATTAATACAAGTAACTATATAACCTACTGTTGTCTGAATGCTTCCGTTACAATAGTCGTTATGTTCGAAAAAATTGATCCCAATAATAATTTTCCTGAACCTAAATTCATACTTAACGAGACAGCTAATTTCCGCTTATTTTATACATCCGTGTAGAGAAAATTTTGGATAGATATGTATCTCTAAATATCCAACCGATATTTATAAGAATATGAACCTATAAAAAGTTGAAGTTTCATTCCTTAAGAATTTAAAACTATAAAAACACTTCCATAATTTTACTCTTATTTACTTCTTCCCAGTTTATGGTGATTATATAAATTAGAATATCAAGTTATTTAAATGTTGTGATTAGATATAAGTATTCTATCTTTTGACGACTTTTATGAACAGTGTATAGTTTCTTGGCAGTTTAAATAAATTAGTGTAGGGTTGCAGACAATGTTCAGTTTAGGTTGATATCATGAATGGATCAATGTTAGGCCACCATTAAAAACCGGGAAGCACTGGATGACCATACTAGATGGTGGTCTAATATAAATCCATTCATGATTTCAACCTAAATAAATTAGTATTGATTTGGAAGTCTTTTTTTATTAACACTAAGAAAATTAATTACTTTAACCTTTGTTTTTCGAAGGTCCTTTAATATATGTATATCTACGAAATAAGGTATCATTACCAACATTTGATTTGATAATTTCGAATAAACTTGAACTAATTTTTATTTGGTTATTTATTCTCTGAAAAAGTGACTTACACTAAGTAACGAAACGCCAGAAAATCTAATATTCTACTCCGCAGGATATTACAAATATATCATTTATCTACGAAGTAAAATTGTTTAGAAAATAGTCATGTTTCTAGCGACATATACTACTAGCACATGGTGAATTAAACGGTATATTCTCAAACAATTACGACAGATTTCATACACATAGTTCCCTTTATCATTTTGAAAAGAGCAAGAACAAAGATTCTAGCAGAATAGCATGAATTCATTTTATTTCGTAGGTTCTCGTCAGCTGCTTACAACCTGTGATATTTAAAAATCATAATTGCATAATGGATTTAAATTGCTTACAGAATATTGTAAATATATACCTAATGTGAAAGAATATTCTACAACATTAATTGTGACAACAGTTCAAAAATGGGTTAGAAACAATTGATTACATAATGAATAAACATTGATAAGAATATAGTGATTAGAGTTCAGTTGAAAGATTATTAATTTGAAAGATAGTTGAAAAAATAAATTAGAACCAATGATGTAATAAATGCAACAGAAAAAGAGAAAAAAAAGGAAAAGATTTTAAGGTTCAGTGAAGGAATATTTGTCACCAGGGTAAGGAAAGATTAACCACCGTCTCCTTTTGAATACATAGGTCAGGTTTTTGTCGCCTGATGGCAATGGCTTCAGCAAACTTCAGAAGACTGGAGTTTGGCTGCTTACCAATCACCCTAAAGGATTGTAAGGTATCTACCTGATGTCCTGTATCAAGGAGATGTTTGGTGATCGCACTGTTCAAAGTCTTTCGTTCCCTTGTTCTAAGACTTTTTGGAACATGTTCAAAGAATCTAAGATATGCTCTCCTTTCAGTTCGGCCGATGTAGCTGCTTTGGCAGGTACACGTAAATTTATAAATACAGTTGGCGGTAACATGAAAGAGTTGCTTGTCGATCTTTGATTGGGTTATTGAACATGTTGTTTGATAGAGAATTAAAAGTTTAGCAGCCGGATAAGTTCTGGCTAGCGCTGTATTCAGTCTCTTGTTGATAATTTGTGCGACGTCATCACCTTTAAAGTTAAGATTTATATATACTGGTTTTTTATTGACCATAGTTATTTCCGTCTTCTTTTCCTTGGGCCTTTTATATTTGTCAATAAATTTTTGTGGATAAAAGTTGTCTTTTAGGCATTTTTCTACGTTCATTAATTCTTCTTCCAGTTTGTCGGTGGAGCATATCTTTTCTGCCCTGTAAAATAGTGTTTTAACCAACGCCTTCTTGTAACTAATTGGACAAAAACTATTGAAATTCAGGTAGAGGCCATTCCAATTACTTTTTCTATAAATTGAACGTTGAACTGTCCCGTCTCCCCTGTGTTTCATGGCAACATCAAGAAAGTGGAACATATCGTTCTGTTCGTGCTCCATAGTAAAATGTATGCTATTATGAGCGTTATTGAAGAGTTTGAGCAGGCGGATTGCATGTTGTTTATTATTACAGATAATAAATGTGTCGTCCACATTACTTACAACTACTTACAACGATCTAAAACCACGTGGTTCACGTCTACCTCATATGTATGGGTTACCAAAAGTTCACAAACATGACGTTCCTATTAGACCTATCCTATCAATGATCAACTCACCATATCATAAAGTCGCACGCTGATTAGCAGAAAAACTAGAACCGGTTCGTCGTAGATTAGCAACATTCATTCCAGTTTGCTGAAAGACTAAATCATACGAATGTTAACGACAAGTTCATAGTCTCTTTTGATGTAACATCCTTGTTCACCAATATAACACTTTTTGAAATTATTGATATAATTTTTCATAATGAAGATCTCCTACCTTTACCAGCCCCAGAATTCAAAAAACTACTACTAATATGCACAACAGATGTTCAATTCCAATTTAACACCATATATCGCCAAGTCGATGGCGTAGAAATGGGTAGTCCACTAGGTCCAATTATGCCAGATATTTTTATGGGGTATATTGAGAACACGATACTTAAACAGGCAATTAGTGAAACAACGGAATACTCAAGATATGTGGACGACACATTTATTATCTGTAATAATAAACAACATGCAATCCGCCTGCTCAAACTCTTCAATAACGCTCATAATAGCATACATTTTACTATGGAGCACGAACAGAACGATATGTTCCACTTTCTTGATGTTGCCATGAAACACAGGGGAGACGGGACAGTTCAACGTTCAATTTATAGAAAAAGTAATTGGAATGGCCTCTACCTGAATTTCAATAGTTTTTGTCCAATTAGTTACAAGAAGGCGTTGGTTAAAACACTATTTTACAGGGCAGAAAAGATATGCTCCACCGACAAACTGGAAGAAGAATTAATGAACGTAGAAAAATGCCTAAAAGACAACTTTTATCCACAAAAATTTATTGACAAATATAAAAGGCCCAAGGAAAAGAAGACGGAAATAACTATGGTCAATAAAAAACCAGTATATATAAATCTTAACTTTAAAGGTGATGACGTCGCACAAATTATCAACAAGAGACTGAATACAGCGCTAGCCAGAACTTATCCGGCTGCTAAACTTTTAATTCTCTATCAAACAACATGTTCAATAACCCAATCAAAGATCGACAAGCAACTCTTTCATGTTACCGCCAACTGTATTTATAAATTTACGTGTACCTGCCAAAGCAGCTACATCGGCCGAACTGAAAGGAGAGCATATCTTAGATTCTTTGAACATGTTCCAAAAAGTCTTAGAACAAGGGAACGAAAGACTTTGAACAGTGCGATCACCAAACATCTCCTTGATACAGGACATCAGGTAGATACCTTACAATCCTTTAGGGTGATTGGTAAGCAGCCAAACTCCAGTCTTCTGAAGTTTGCTGAAGCCATTGCCATCAGGCGACAAAAACCTGACCTATGTATTCAAAAGGAGACGGTGGTTAATCTTTCCTTACCCTGGTGACAAATATTCCTTCACTGAACCTTAAAATCTTTTCCTTTTTTTTCTCTTTTTCTGTTGCATTTATTACATCATTGGTTCTAATTTATTTTTTCAACTATCTTTCAAATTAATAATCTTTCAACTGAACTCTAATCACTATATTCTTATCAATGTTTATTCATTATGTAATCAATTGTTTCTAACCCATTTTTGAACTGTTGTCACAATTAATGTTGTAGAATATTCTTTCACATTAGGTATATATTTACAATATTCTGTAAGCAATTTAAATCCATTATGCAATTATGATTTTTAAATATCACAGGTTGTAAGCAGCTGACGAGAACCTACGAAATAAAATGAATTCATGCTATTCTGCTAGAATCTTTGTTCTTGCTCTTTTCAAAATTACGACAGATATAGAATCGCAGTTGGAAATAGAAGCCGATTGAAACTGTTGATATAGAAAAGCTTCAATGACATGAATGTTTTCTTAAATCATTGTAGTAACTTTATCTGAGCAAAAACAATTGCTTTAGTGAACATAATTTAGAGACAAGAAACGTGAGAATAATGAGATTTAGCAAACGTTCCCACTAATATCTATGGAGTTAGACGGATGTTAACTAGTAAACTGAATAATTCAGTGGCCGAACATCTTCACCAAGAAAACGTAAACCTCAATCTTGTAAGCGCACAACTGTTACACCCAACTTTACCTAATGACATTTTATATTATGAAAAATTGATTACAAGTATCTTTTTAACATGAGATTTAATTGAAAAAAGAAGGGATTTGAAGTATGAGGGTGAGAAAAAAAAGCGTGTTATCGTATTGTTAGTATTGTCAATTGCCAATACGACTCAGTTATAAACAGATATATTAACAATGAAAGTAACAAAAGCAATCAAGACTATTACCAATCATATTTACATATCGGGATTGATGATAATGATCGCTATAATAGATCATCAACATTGTAACCTTGAGATAAACAATTAATAGAAAGCTAGGATTCAATTATATACCTAATCTAGCAAAGCAACATAAAATTAAAATCAAGGTCAAAAGGTTACTCTACCATCACAATATGAATTTAAAAGTAATTATCGAAGTAAAAAGAACAACAAAGTACTCAATAGAAGGTAAAACTACCAGTATAATACTAACAATAATTGAATTGTAAAACTTGATGAATGAACTTTATATAACATGTATAAATATATCAGATTACAAAAATAATATGATTCCTACATACATGTTTTTATTTTAGATCCATGACGTAGATCACATCGTTAAAATGTAATTGTAAGTAGTAAGCACGCTTATTTTCATCCCTAAATACATCGGAATACTAAAAGTAACAATAATATAGTTTGCATCATAAACTAGCTTTAGTTAGAACCATTTAAAAAGTTGTCCAACTAAGCTCGGTGTTAGTGATGTGGAATATAGTGTATTCAATATTTTTCAAAAACTCCCCCTAATACCAGTACTAATAATACTTCAACAGATTTCTTTCCTGCACTAGACATTTGTATGAAAGCTGACAAGTGACTAGTTGTTTAAAATGTAGTACTGTGGATCCAGTCATATGCTTACCAAGTAAATAAGCTGAAGATTTATAAAAACAACAATAATTGCAATTGTACAAATATTTAGATTATATAAGAAGTGGCTTAATGATTAAAGCATAGTGCCATCGTTTTCACTCATTTTAAAGCATAGCATAGGTTAGGCTTCAAAGAGTACATATAAAATCATACTTGTTTAATGAGTTCTTTTTAAAATCTAATTTATATAGAAAACTGAAAGAGACATTTTTTCTACAGCCTATTTAATGAATTAATCGAAAATTGTTATGCTCATATATTTGGCAGTTAGTTATTATTTAGATCGATATTTCGTATTCAAATAGAAGCTGAATAAATAGTTATACTCATATTGATCGACGAATATAAAATAGATGCTGAACTTGTGAAAACATATAATAATATATCTTAATATCAGCATAGTATGATATCAGTCTCTGATACATAAAAGCTGTGAATAAATCCTTCAAGTAAATGCTAATTGAGTACTGCGTTAAAAATGAGTACTATTTAACTTTAATATGGTGGAGAAGATTTGTAGCTCAGGTGGATGATTTTGGTGGAGTTTTGTTCTCTGAGCTGGATGGTTTGGTCGTGGAGCTTTCAAACCAATGGGAGACACAACCAAAACAAAGAAGTAAACAATGATAAATTTAAGGTCAACAAGAACCAATGAACACCGAGGTGCACGGAACAAGCTGTGAAACACATATGGAGAGATTCGAATACTTCACTTCTATCGGAAGTTTGTGCTGATGATGTCGTTCAGAAGAACGATGAAAGCTCCATGACCAAACCATCCAGCTCAGAGAACAAAACTCCACCAAAAACTATTTAACTTTAATTTAGATAAGTGGCCAGCAATATCACTCGTCACAATAAGTGTTTCAAGAAATCTTGTACAACGAATTGCAATTAATGAGTCGTGGTTATTACTGCATGGTTTACACAGATTACATAATCATAAACATACCAGTCAACGTCTAACATAAACAAGTCATACTTAAATATCAAATATCTATTGTCCTTCAAATTAATATTTGGATGAATATGCCTACTTAAAAAGGTTTATTTAAAAACAACTTTTAACGAAACTAAACAATCATTTAGTCAGCTATAACGTACGACCAGGTTTATATATGCATTGGTTCAAGTTGCCATACATCATTAGCACAACAAGAAGGACACTTAATTAATAAAATCAGTTATTTCAATGGTAGTAAATAAGAAAAGTTTGCATGTAAGGATATCATACCGGGAGAAAGATATCGGTTCGTAGAACGAAAGGTATAAAGTAATTTTAATCTCATAATTTAAGGTAAGACAGAGTTTATACACGTACGCCATTGTGATCGATTCTGAGCCATGTGACCCAGAGTCTCCAAACATGGGTTACGATAAGTCTTATTTTAAGCAAAGAAATATGGCCTGTTGTTAAGAAATAATCTTATTAAGCCGAAAAACATAGAAAATGATATATATCCATTTGAAGCCTTAACTCAACATGATGTGTACAACATTTCTTTTAAAAATGACCATACTTAGTTGATTGAATAATGATTAAAATAAACCATAATATCTTAATATAAGGAAAATTATATGAAGATATTACGGTTTCTGTTTCTGTTAAGCAAGATTCAATCGACTAAGTATGTTAAATTTTAAGAGAAATGTTGTACACATCATGTTGAGTTAAGGCTTCAAATGGATATATATCATTTTCTAAGATTTTTTTAGAAAATGAAAGACGCGGTAGACGCCCAACTTTGAGATTAACAAACTGGATTCAGTAAAGATCGGTTGTGCACAGACCAAATCGCGACACTACGGATCATTTTCGAACAATCAGTTGAGTGGAATTTGTCACTATACATCAACTTCATTGATTATAAGGTGTTTGACAATGTAGACAGGAGAACATTATGGAAACTTCTTCGACACTACGGAGTTCCTGAGAAGATTGTCAATATTATCCGGAACTCATACGACGGACAACAATGCAAAGTCGGGCATGGAGAACAGCTGACAGATGCATTCCAAGTAAGGACCGGAGTCAGACAAGGTTGTTTACTCTCTCCCTTCCTCTTTCTTCTGGTGGTCGACTGGATTATGAAGACCTCGACATCTGAAGGAAAACACGGAATACAATGGACAGCTCAAAACCAATAAGACGATTTGAACTTCGCACATGACGTAGCCCTCCCATCCCATACACACGAACAAATGCAGATGAAGACAACTAGTGTAGCAGCAGCCTCTGCATCAGTAGGCCTCAACGTACACAAAGGAAAAGGCAAGATCCTCAAATACAACACGGAGAACATCAACCAAATTACACTTGGTGGCGAAACTCTGGAAGATATGGGATCCTGAAGGGAAACGGAGAAGCGGAAGGGCGAAAAACACACTATGTCGGGAAATGAGAGCAGATATGAAAAAGGATTATTAACAACTGGAAAGAGCTAGAAGGGATTGCCCAGGACAAAGTTGGATGGAGTGTGCTGGTGGGTGGCCTGTAGATCATAATTCTTATTCTTCAAACTGCTTTATAACCCTCATTTAGCCCTATTAAGTAGGTAGACACTCTCAAGGTCACTTTAGCGTCCCTCAAAGGTCGTCCATCAATTATAGTCTCACCATTTTCAACTACAACTTAGTAATTGAGTGTGATATAGATGCTGCAAAAACGAAATGAAGGTCAATGTCTTAATAGTAACTTAGGTGAACGTATGTCCTAGCAGTTCGGTACTTTATGGTATCAGTTTTTCATGAAAAATATTTTAAAAATTAATTGAAACATTCGAAGATCTTATTACATCCAAGTGTTTGCGGAATAAATCAAAAACAAATTTCTTTGAAAGAAAGTTTGGATCTTGCGACTTACACCTAACTCATAAAAAAAACTTTTGAAAAGTTAAAAATGATACGAAAAGATTATATTAGGCATATAAATTCGAAAAACTTCTACACTATTTCAAACACTTACACCAAAAGAATTTGCTGATGCTTCGAAAGATTTATTTTCACTAGTTGAGAAATCTGTATTACAATTGGTTGGTGTTTTCTCATGAATTTTCTTTTCATCATAAGCAATATTCCCATCGGAAATTCCTCTATCGCCTAATATATACGAACGATTAGTTTCTGGAGTAGAACAAAGTGTAGGGTTTATTGCTTGAGAGAAATCTCCCGAAGAATTATGTAAAGCGGAATAGTCAAAAATTGTATCTTGTCCACGAGATAAAGATAAACAAGAAGGATCTAATCCACCATCAGTTGGAGAGTGATCATCTGACGATTCCTTAATGAATAAATAAAACAGAACGAATAGTTTAGTAAATAGATCAAAAAGTTAGGAAAATTGAGGAAAACAAACAATAAAAAAATATTTACAACTACTTACACTTTCCATAGTAATATTTTCTACACGTTGATTAACCGTTTCAGATTCCTGGTTGTAGTTAGATTTATTGGGTCTATGCATTCCAAAAATATGCTTTGAATTAGATCGTCGTCGAATATGCGCAAATCGTTTGGCGAATCGGCCACCAGCTAAACTCATCATATGACCACCACCTCGTTGAAGGAGTGAAGAATCAGTGGAATGCAAAGGTCCAGAACCAGTAAATGTTGTCGTAGGTGAACCTGGTAGTGCGGAAAATCTCTCTAAAGGTAATAAATCGGACTTTCCAGAAGATTTCCCGAATGGGTTTTGAAAGCTTACCGATTTACCAACTGAAGCTAGCATAGATCGTAGATGTACAGTATCCGGTGATGTATCAGTTTCACTTTGGGCAAGTAACTCTCTTTGTAGGCGTTTCAACAATTTCGCTCCAGCATCCTAAAAATGACGCAACAAAAACAAAAAAATTATTTCGCCATCTATATATATAAATATATATATATATAGCATGTCTGCAGGTAAATACTATATAGTTCAAAACAAACTAAACCCCAGTGAGAGTAGAAGTTGCATATATAAAATACATACAATTGTCCAACAAGATAAACACATTTATTTACGATAAATTAACTGAGTAGGTAAATAATGATTAAAACTGTGAGAAGTCGAGTATCTGGACTAGTAGAATGTATATTAGTACAATTTATAATAAATAAATACTGACATAATCATTGAACTTGTCAATCATATGTTTTACTTTTTTTGAAGGTGAGTGAAATGATAAAATTATGATAACTTCCATTAGGATAAGTTTATATTGTTGTTGCTATTAATAATAACGGTATTATTATTAGAGTTACGTGAATAAATTTTCAAGTGATACTGACCTAATATTTTTAAATAAAGATTTCGCATTAATTTAATAACATTTATATCAATTTCATACAAACTATGTAACATGTAAATCAAATGTGTCAAATATAATTACTTTGGCAAAATGAAACAAATTGTGGTGGTCACAAATAATACACACATGAACAGATGATGCACTATGCAGACAAATAAAAAATATTTTCACTGGACAGCCGTTTTGTCCTAATATGAGACTCTTCAGCAACATATTACTAGGAATTATAAAATTTACTTAAACTAAACTAATTGAGTTCAATGAGCAAATAATATGTTGACAGTGGTTAGTTAACTTATTTTGTATTATTATACAGTAAGTGGAACATAGGAAATATGAACCACATATACAACCTTCAATATTATTTAATTAATGATATGATTTTGAGTAACAGACACTCAACACATAGACAACAGAGAAGACTATTTATGCGATATTGGATTTTTGAAAATGTCAAGAACGACAGTCATAGCAGAATATAATGAATACAAAGTATTTTGCAATTCATATTGTTTTCATTCTAATTAAAATTTAGGAAAAGAACCGATTGTATTATATTGCCTAGATTCGAAATGACATATTTCAAAATGACAAGATAATCTTAGTTAGAAAGGATAATTTGCAACAAAACAAAATGAATACATTTAAAACATAAATACCAATAGTGACTGATATTGCATGTTTTAAACAGTTTACTGTTACCTTGTAGATCGAAATAAAAAATTAGACAATTCATGATAGCAATGAAAGTATTCGTAAACCGAAGATATGTAACTTGAGTGAAATGATGCATAACTTTTTATACATCTGATCAACCTACGTCGTAATAAATTTACAAGTTCGAGAATTTATTTATGTTCGTCATAATTTGAAGCTAACTAATGGTAACTGATCATCCATCAAATGATGAGTGCCTATCATGTAAGTACTATACCTAAAGTCATCTAGGTTAAATAATTGCATCAACTAGCAGAATTGAATAGAGAGTTTGTAAAAGAATCTTGTGATGAAATACATTGAATACACGACAAAACTGCCTCACTCTGTTTAAAATTATTTATTCCCTAAAAGCATAACCCTTAGAGTAATTCAATTTTAGCTTTATAAGTTTAAGTGTAATGTGACATTTAAAAAATACCAATATCTCACCCGAAAAGTTGAAAATTCTTTCTATAACGAAAACAGAAGTGAGTTAAGTACTTCATAGGGCGACAATACTATAGGGTTCGTGTATATTTATTACAAGCATATATTCTGGAGGTCCTTCGGTCAAAGGAATGAGTAAGATGAGTTTTGTTGGGACCAACAACTGTTTCTGTCTTTGGTGAGAGTTTGAACCCTATGATGAGCATCAATTTCTTAAAGATTGAGGACATATCTTGGTGACGAGTGACAACTAGGATGTAACCTAGGTTCCAAGGTTTACTGGGGATCATACATTACGTATAACACAACAACCTTAATATTGACACGTCAATACACATTTATAACGTCTTTACATAAAGTAACTACTTTGTAAAATTAGAGTTCCTAACAAAATCTGCTGTTGAAAATCCATGTTATTAGAGGACTAAATTTATTTAGTGTAAATGACGCTATAAAACTTTTAATTGGAGAACACAATGAGAATAAATCATTAAGAAATTTGCAGAAAAGATAACGGAGTAAAATAGTAGAAGCCCAGTCGCTCAAGATTTTAATTACAACATACTGTGAATGCACAAAGAGAAGTAAAATCTACTTCTTTGTCTTAATAAAACTGTGAATATCTTCAAAAATCTAGTAAATATTAACTTACAAATGAAGGATAATTTAAAGAGAGAACAGTAAAGAAAGACGATAATCTCTTGTCCTGTGTGAATCAGTGGATATCTATTAAGTAGTGTAAACTCATTATGCTCACTACAAGATGCAAAACCCAAGGTTTAATACTGTATAATGTTGTGAACGAGCCCTAATGAGAAAAATTCAACCTATAATGAAACAAATATCCAAACGGTTGAAGGGCTTTATTCATTCTTCATTTGATGTCAATTTATGATAAAAATGAACTTTAAAATTTACAAATAAGCCATCACAAAACTATATCACTAAACAAATTAGTAGAGTTTATATAAATTTAAAACAACGAAAAACTTTAGTTTACTTACGGCACTCAATGTATCATCAGAGCTACCGGCTGTAGCGAAAAAAGGTCGAAGTGTTGGTCGTGGTGTACTCTGAATCGAAACTAAATTATAACTTTCCGCATCTGAATCCTCTTCGATATCACTAGCTGTCGCTATACGATCAATTTCATCCCATAATTTCGATGTTGTAGCCACATCTAAATCAACCTATTAAGTTAGAATAACGTGGTTGTTTTTGTGAAGAATAGAAAAGAAAGAGATGTAGACATGAATGAAGAAAAATAAACATGAGAATGTTATTTTTTTAAGAAAAAACGAATGATTGAACAGAAAATAACATCCATTTAGCTCTATAGGTTTACACTTGGAGTATATTCAGAAGTTTAGATTTTAATTCATTTATGAAAACAGTAATTTACAATTTAAGTAAGAAAATATTGTTGTCACTTTCCTATAAATGTAATAAATAGAAAAAGTTCAGTTATGATTATTTAGACTAACATATTTAGCATAAACTATTAAGGGAAAAATTAGAAATGATAACATTACATAAAGCGAAGATTATAATACAGAAAAGTGAATTACTATTTTAAGTAAATGAAATGTGAACTAAACAAATAGAAATTACCGTAATTATAAAATGGATCATTTTTCATTTTAACTTCATTACATAGAAATAGGTATACATAATTTTAAAAATTGATGTTATGTCAAGTTTTGCATAATAGAAGTATTCTTTTTTCGGTCAAGGACAAATTATTCTATCATGTATAAAACAAATGTTACCAGAAAACCCGGTAAAAATAAACAAAGTACTGTTTACAAACACTCCGTTACCTTTATGACATTCAAAGATAAAGATGAGTGAAACAAGAGGTGTTTCTTACTTTATTTATCGAAAATATAAGATGATTTTAATTTTCTTTCTAAGTAATAAGGTCAGAAATATTTGCGATTACAAAAGATCCTAATGTGAAAACAAAACGAACCAAACTGTATTTTGTAAACACCTTCATCCCAAGATCGGCTACGTATTCTTATCCAATTTTATTAGCAAGACTTTAAACAAAAAACTAATGAATATTTACCAACTACAGTAACCAACGGTGACATGACTAAGGATCATTCGCAATGGTCGAGTGCATTTATTTATCTTTCCTTACTTCTTGAATTCCAAAAACTTCTTACACTTTTTTGTTCACTTAATATTTTCTACGACTACTACTGATAGTGTTACTACTTTTAGTACTCTGGGATTTATCGGGATAACTTTAACTCGCTATGCTGATATGGTGTAGCAACACTTGAGCAGTCCCATACATCAGGTTCTACGTTGCATATTACTGAAAGACTGGACTACCAAGGTAATCAGAAAACTGTTCCAAATGAAAAGACTAACAATAGATTAACTGACTTGATTGAGGACAATCGATGTCGTTTAACAGTGTTACAGTAAAATTTGTAACAATATCACAGGATTACTTCCGATTAAAATTATACACAGAACTGTGATGCTAAGTTTTTTTAACAATCCACAAGGAATTCCATACAAGAGGTCAAAATTTATAGTTGAATAGTTATCCATATTTGGTGAGCTTTTACAACTAAAGTGAAAACTTCCGCCATACTGAGAAAACTATACAAAACGCATGAACGATTGATTTGCATAAAACAAGTTGAGTTTTCCTAACATTAAGATTAGGTTGATTACATCTACACTCTTAGCCAAATCCTTAAAAATCTTCATATGTAGTGCAGATGAATAATTATGATAATTTTTGACATTATGGTTACTACCAGTTGTTCGAATTTGTGATTTAAAATAATCATCATAGAGGACTGGTATTCCAGAAGTTCAAAATCTTCAAGATCTTTTAGATCACATTACATAAAGTGACAGCATACAACAGCCTAACTTCGACGTTTGAAAACAGCAGTATGACGAGGTGGATTTGTACAATCCTTACATTCTTTTGTTAATGATATTCAGAGGACAGAACTGGTAGAGGAGACTACAGAGACATTTAAACCTTAAGTACCTAGTTGATACTGTCTGTTTATTTGATGATAAATTGATTAATTCGCAGTTAGCTAGTTGAGTATTAGCATAAATTAGCATCGGAAATACAATGCATCATGAAAATTTGAATTACTTCAACAAAAAATGTCAACACTCTGTTTTACAAGCCCACAAAAATAGAAACGTCCATATATCTTCACAGCTGCGTGATAGTAGAAATGTAACAGACTAAGTTAATCTATGTATAATAAAATGCAAAGCGACCTACAACATTCGGTGTCGTCATGACGTTATTCTGATCACAAAAGATAGAGAATACAAAGCTACAGAGTGAACAGTTTGGAAATCAAACACCTCTGAGAACAGTGTTCCACTCTTGTTTCGTGTTTCTTACTTAATTGTCGTTCACAAATTAATGTCAGTTCCTGTTTTTAAATCTTCCGATGCAATCGACATAACTATTAAAAAATCAAATGGTGAAGCTCTATATGATGTTATATTGTTTCACAGTTTAACTTTTTCGTGTATACAATATGTCCCGAGTAGATAAATATAATTCCTGAGACTGAAGTACAAAATTAGGAAAGAATAAACCACAATGAAATGTTTCCAAAATATATGCACACATACTATAGGAATTTTATAAAGTGATTGTGGAAACCTAAATAAATAATGTTAGACGGAAATAAACTTATAATAAATGACGTAGACAGGTTGTAGAAAATCTAGCTTGGGATATGTACATACACAATTAAATACGCGATAGAATAGAATAAAGTAGGTCTAATGATCGATTAAACTTTGTACAGTATATGATTATATAAGAATTCTGGTATTCCTAAACACACATACATACATACATACAGACAGACTAAAGGATTGTTTCGTTTACTGTTGGTAAACTTAAAACTAACATATTCGCTTACGGATAAAAAAGTAATTATCATTCGTTTCTTTTAAGTTAGAACTGCCCAAAGGAAAGAATGTTGATTTATAGAATGTGATTCTTGCTCTCATATTGACTAATTTCAATGAATGAATAAGTAAACGCATATATATTGAAAATATCTACGGTCAATTAAACAACGGAATGAAATACATAAAGGTTATCATTAAAAATGTAATTGGTTACTCGTAAATAAATAAATAAATAAATAGAGATGGATTAATGAGATTAAGACAATGCTTATTATAATATTTTATAACTCACCTCATTAGGATCACTAATTTTTAATTTTTTCAGTAAACCAATTAATTTTTGCTTAATTTGCTTTTGCTAGAAAAAATTTCAATGAAACATTTAAAACAGGAAATGAAGTGAAAATTTTAAAATGCATATTTGATGCATGTTTTCATAAGATTTAATATAATCACCTTATGTGTATATGTAAAATTTAGTCATAGTACATGTTTGAAGATTTATCATTACCGAATTTCCACATTTCTATCAGTAATTGTAATTCCTTAAAGACATTAAAACTTACCCGTAAATATAGAAATTACACTATATTACAGACAGTTGTTAAATTTAACCATTCACGAGACAGTCAAATATGATGTAATATAAATGTAAGGTGTTTTTCTTAAAACTCCTTATAAGTATACGTTTATGAGTGGTAAACATAAACCTATGTTCAATATAGAAATCCCTTTTTAATATCTAGTATTTATAATTTTGTTAATTAGCAATAGTATCAACAGATCCACATTTGTTGGTGGAAATGTAAAAAATAAAAAATATGAACCTGTGAATGCTCGATTTAATGACTCAGTATTTACTTATCCTGATGTTTGGTTCAATTTCAAATGAATTTTCTCTGCTGCTTAATCAGTAATTAAGATGGAACAGTTTTATAATGGCCGATTCATATCAAAAACCATAGTAGGGTTATATCAATCATTATAAATCACTATTACAACGTTAATTATTTTAAACTAACCAAATAAGCATATTTTCTCGATGGAATTATCTAATATTTTGTTAGATAAGAATTTAATTAAACAGTAACACATTCATCAATAAGGTTAACGTCTAAGATGAGAAAATTGACATTTTAGATAAACAATAAAACAAACACAGTTTGGATATGTAACAATAGCACAATTCCCAATAAAATATACGGAAAATTTTAAGAGAATAGTCATAAGTGTAATTTTAAGAATAATTAAATTGGAATATGATCATTATTCATAGGTAATAGTTTTAGTTATAAAGAGCAGTGTATATCTTTTCTAGCTCGAATACTTTTAAAAAAGAAAATTTAAAACCCTTCTAATATAATAGTGAAGAAACATTGATGTAAAAAAACAGATAATTTACAATGTTTTTGTCAATGTACACCCCAAAGTAAATTTTACAACAATTTTATGTATGGATCATAGAATAATATGAATTTGTATAATAGAATTTTACTATATGGAATAAGATTTAAGATTTTGTCCCTTTATTCACAAACTAAGTATTTAAATTAATGAATTATAGCGTGTAAGCACACTGATGGAAAATGATTACTTTATTTCTTACTTTTAAAAAAAATAAGGCGTTATCATAGTTGCTCTGTTAGCTACACGAGAACACATGTATATAGCCTTTGTTTTAGTTAACTTGGTCACAAAAATATACAATAGTAAACAGTTAAATATTAGATAAGTTAATTGACTCAAATATATTGTTAAGATTTTACTTACATTTACACACTTTTAAGAAAAGAAATGTAGATTAAGAAAAAAAATGACATTTTGATTTCTTTTTTTTACTGATACACTACAAATGTTTGGTATGCAAAAGATAGTCAAAAAATGGCTTGATAACCAATATATTACCGTATAAACAAAAAACAAAGAAACCTTTGTGATGTTTCCAAGTGAATTTACAAACTTTTTTTAAGAAACCAGTTAAGATTTACTTATAAATTATCATACTGGAATATTCTGAAGATTTATTCATACTCGATATGAGTTCTATAAGCTATGATGTGATGCTGCTGAGATACGACTTATCAACTAATTGGTGGTCGTAAAAGACATTCTCACTAATATCATAATGTCAGAAACGGTGAGGTTGTGAACTTTCATCGATTGTCGGGTGCATTACCCATGACCTGTTCCCAGCATCCAGATAATGTCTCGGCTAACGTGGAAGTAAACTGAATGTTAAAAACTGTTGGATCAAGATACGTGATGTTTAATTTCCCGTGGAAAGCTGATATTACGCTCGTTTATTTAAGACGAACGGGGGAAATTCCAAAATGCATACAATTCCCCCACACTAACACCAGATACACAGACAACATAAATAATCTCTCCTACGTTGAACTAACTCAGATCAAGAATGTATTATCAGCCTTACTAACAACCATATATTAAAACAATTAACAAGGCTAGAAAAAATATACAAGATACACAAAACTGTCTGTCCACGTTCCCTAACCAAACATAGTTTATAAAGTCAATTACCAGTGTTTTGAGTAGTATCAGGAGAAACAGACAACTGCGTTAATATCCACAAGATAGGTTTAATATTTTGTTTAAATAGCATCATATAGATATAGATCACAATGATGCAAATGGATCTATTCTTTATTATCCTCACAATCTGAAGCTATTTTATACTACTCCCCAATTCATTTTTAACTATATTCTTAATGCTTAATCTTTACTAGTGCCGACTTTTATATTGTGAAATTTAATTTGCAGTGTTGAAGTGAGTTGTGTAAAAATTAATTAATTAATATTTGTATCAGGTTGTATGTCTTTTTATGGCTGACTGAATATTCGTAAAACAATTCAGATACTACAATACAGTTACATAAATTAAGTTCAAAATCAACAGCTAACAACAAAATAGAATAGAATGTGATTTGGTCACAATTTTATACAATAACCTAAACTTAAATACTAGAAACAATTGTTTGAATTGTATATTGTACTAAAACAGTAAACAGATAATAATTACAAATATAAATCACATATATACAAATAGGTACTTACACCAACAGACATAGCTTTAACGAGCTTTTTTTGACGACTATGTCCAACTATTTCACACTCAGCTATCTGATCGTCATCACTTTCTTCAACATGATCTGAATCCTCTTGTTCACTATAAACATCTGGTATAGGATAATCTTCATCTTCATCTACAACTATAAACAGAAATCTCAGTAAAATTTAAAATAACCAGAAGAAAAGCCCATTAATTTATCTAGTAATAAAATTAAAGCCCTGTTTATATATTGAAAATTTGATTGACAATAATATTTATTTCGTGGTTTGTGAAAAGTTTTTATTACAGGATAAAGTTAGCTGGTGAATGAGAAGCACTAGTCGGTTATTTTAATCCCGATTTGAGACAATGTGTTCTTGTACTCATCAACGACAAGTTAAGAAATGGATTTTCCATGGTTTTTTGTAGAAAATAGCAGTTAGTGAATTCGAACATGCCCCCAGATAGACGGTTAGTTATCCACCAGAAAGATGAATAATAATTGAGCTACATTTAGAGTTCATTGAAGTTGCAGTGTGAAATATTTTACTCTGAGTAAGCGCGTTAGTTAATGCTTGAGTACTGATTACGAGACGCAATGGAACTGATATTGTGTGAGGTCATAGGTACAGACTGGCAAGGGTCCCCGATTTAGAACGAAACAACTATTGAGTGGCTTCTCGTTTTCCATTGGTTCTTCAGTTGAAGTCAGTTTGTAACGAGATTTTTATTCTAATGATAAATAATTTTGTCCGCCTATATGTTATGTCCTAACATAAGTGAAATTAAATGGAAATGTTTTTATAAGAAACAAACGATTCCTTGACAGCGTCAATTTATTTATTAATTAGACTACATACCATAGAAAACACCGAATAAAAGACATTCTGAACAATGAATAACTGTTCCCTCCTACAAATATATAAAATGTTTAAGTATCTATATACAGTGGTTGTAGGGACATTAAGACAGTCAGCATCTATTTGTGGACTAATACTATACATATATTTATGTTCCTCTTACTATAAGTTCCTAATTGGTTACTGTTATATGATTTACTAACCTCAAGTTATTCTCAATCTATTAGTCACAGTTCCTTATAATCACAGCCACTTTTGGCTTGATCTTGTATACACGTTACTTCTCTTTTATGGTGTGATGTGTTCTGATTTTACTTGTATATAAACCGATTATATTTGAAATATATGATTCATATCGCGGAGGCTAAAATTGGTGTTCTAGACTTAACAGGCAGGACTAGGCGAAAAAAGGACCGATCAGAAACCTAGGCCGCTCGTACGGATGTATACGTCATTACTCGTGATATCGTATAGTTAAGGACATAACAGTGTGAAAAATGAAACTACACATTTTTATTGTAAATAAGTGGTCATGTATTCAGGTCGCAATGTTAATCATTTTGCTTAGAAATTACAATTAACAAACAAATTCAAAATCATTTCTAAGTATAAATCTATAAGGATAAAATTTTGCTTTCCTTTGCAGTTGACCAATATGGTAGGAATATTAGAACAACTGTTGTGTAAAATAAGGTACTAGGCATTAACTTTGAAATAATTCCCATCATGGATAGACTTCATCTGGAGAAAAATCGAAAATAACGGAGCGCCGGAAAGCTGTGACATGCTTATGCACAACGTAATAACCAACAAATAAACATGACTAGTTGAAATAAGTGGTTAGAAGATACGAGCTTGTACGTCACTCACTCGCCAATGAATTATGATCTGACTGTTACGTCTCATTCTCTCTCATAATTATATTAAGATAATTTCTTGAGGATTGATCAGTTACGGTGAAGCAACAAAAGTGGTCAGGAAAGTTAGCATTTTTAAGACCACTGACAAACCACTACATTGAAAAATTTTTATTCATCAAACCTCTCTTTGTATGAAAGACTCTGAGTATTATACACCCATTTAACAATTGAGCACAGAACAATGGAATTGATAAAAGAATAATTATGTTGGATGGTTGCGAAAAAATCTTCAGTAAGAAAGTCGTGTATTGGATATATGGAATACTTTGATCACCAATGTCAATAAAGCATACTACTATATATGCTTTAGTAAAATGTTTGTTCAGCTGAGTTAAATCAACTTTGAAATGCATTATTTTTCTTTCATCAAATTATCACTTCCACATAAGAATCATTTTATTTGAAGGAACAGAAATGGATAAATTTCTAATTATTTAAAGACAAAAATCTTCGTTTAACTATTAATTGTTTTTTTTATCCTCCCAAAACTATTATAACTTAAATATCATGACATATTTTTGAACCGATGTTTAAATACTGCCACTTAACTGATGTGCGCAAATAATATTCCAAATATTAGTGTATACAACAATTCACTGATAATATGTAAATATTTCAGATTAAAAAAAGCTGGATTAGGTTAGTTTAAGTCTTTCTTTTTCCTGAAAAAAAAATTTGTTGGTAATAGGATATGTAGAAGGTAACGAAAAATGTTGTTAATTTATGAGAAGTATGAGAAGAATCAAATGTATATGGTGCAAAAATTCCTACAATTAAATAAGGCTAATAGTTGAAGGGAATAGATGAAAATTTATGACATAGTTATTTAATTAATTAGTACAGACCTTACGAAGGATCATATATACATTCTAGTGTGATACAAAACAATAAAGTAGGATAAAGACGGTTCAGTAACGAATATTCATCAAGTGGATAATTATATTTACTAACTCTTCTATAAATGTTTACCGTTTATCAATTTTAATACTATTGAACAACTTATACTCTATACTTCAAAAAATGTTCATTGGTAAAACTTAGTTGAGTGACAATACAACATCACTTTACCTTATTATAGCCACGAATGCTTAAAAAATTAACCATAATTATCATTGTACATTTCAAGTTAATGACATCATAGAAAAAAAATTTTCCTCATTGAATCAGATCCATTTTATTCAATGACACAAATGGTTTCTTCCATTGTTTTAAAGGTAAAAAAGTTTAAGACTTCAGTAATATAACTAACGAACAACTTGATTTGTTCCAATAAGACAATATTGAAATTGGATCTCAAATCTCAACGTGTATTGATAATTGCCTTACGATATTTGGAAATGATTTAGAAAAGGCAAGAATTTATGCATTTATAGATCCTATTTATCCCAAATAATAAAGCTTATTGCTGTAATTGAAATAGTAGACCAATTTGTTTGAGTATTCCGTGATAGCGCGTATTTATTAAAACAAACAGTAAATTTCACAGCAAAAAGAGAAGGCTAATATTAAAATGTAGAACATGTGCTTTCCTATTAAGGACTTATGATATACTTATTTAAAAGAAAAACACATCACTTGTGGGAATTTCTATATAGTGAATGTGATGTCGATTAGCAATAAATTTAGTGGGTCATTTAATGAAAACAAAGTTAAGTCTAACTAAGGTGTTGCTGTTTTTCAAGTGTCAAGTTCCAAATAGGATGATTACAATGTAACACGCTAAAAATACAATATCGTAGTATAATCAATGAAATAAACCACAGGTTTCTTCAAGGAACTATCTAACTCAGCACAAACATTCATGAAAATGCATGTAAATTCAGTAGTCGAATTGTCAGTCTAAGATCTTGGTAACACCACAAAAAACAGGTGAGTAAAAATTAAAATCCCTAAAGCATATGTTTAATGAAGGACAGAAAAAACACTGGAAAATAAAAAGTGGGGTAGAAATATAAAGGATAAGGAAGAAATAATAATAAGGTAGGGATAAGAGATATCTTCGTATTTATGAAAACCAACGAATCGATATTAATAATTGTAGAATATAAATCATAATACTAATAACAATAATAATAATTAAAAACCCTACTAACCTTTACGCTTTCCGTTTAATAAATCTTTTTCAATAGGTAAACTTGATAAGTATAAAACTTCGATTCTACCAATTGGATGAGTGGAACACTTTGGATCGGTATATAAATCTAAAAATCGATTCTCGATACGACGTTGTAAAACCTAATTTTTTTCAAAAAAGAAAAAGAAAATATACTGCAACACAGAAATCTTTCTTTTCAAGGAACTTTCAGATAACTTCCATAATATATTTTTTTTAAATTAATAAGTATTTAAACAAAGAGAGAAGATTTACAAAACTATAGTACGTTTTCGGCAAATTAATACACTTTGTTGCCGACAATATATATATAAACATTAAAATTACATCAAATGAAAGCATAATGAATATAAATTAAAGCCAAATAAATGTAAGTCATCATAGAGGTGTACACGTATTAATGAAGTTATAAAAGGCTACTATCATACATTAAATGACAAAAAAAACTGACTAAATTATGATAAAATCTAATCATTTTACTTTCAACTAAAAACATTTTTGAGTAATAAAGGTTTAGTTTAATGGAGAAAAAAAGATGTCAGATGAGTAGAAATAATGAAATAATAACCATCCTAAATATAGTATATTCATTCCATTTTTACTAAAAATCAACAATTCGGTGCAAATACATATACTGTGACTCAGAAACTTAAACATTTAACTACACGTCTCAGTTCAACTAAGTCGTTTGGATAACATGACAATATCAGTGGGTGTCACGCCCACACGCACATGCACCAATGTTGCAAATTACAACTAGATATACATGGATAATTAATTTAGTCTATTCTCTACGTAGCCAAGGATATCTAGTCTTAGTGCTATATCTGGGCATTTCTAAAGCCTTTGACATGGTTAGCCACCAACTTCTTATAGGTAACCTCGCATCTTATGGGGTTCAAAATCCTTTGCTTGCTTGGTTTGATTCCTTTCTCAGTAATCGATATCAAATAGTTAAAATTAACTCTTCATTGTCTAACACTGTCCCTGTTAGAAGTGGTGTAATACAAGGCAGTGTCTTAAGCCCTTTGCTTTTTTTAGTGTTTATCAATGATATTTGTGAAAGTTTTTGTGTCGGTAAGCCACTTTTATATGCAGATGATCTTAAAGTAATATATTCATTTTCTCCACATGAGCTGAAAAATATGCAAAATCGCATCAGCATGGAGCTTAACAAGGTAGCACAGTGGTGCTTAAAATGGCAACTGGAGCTTAGTACGGCTAAATGTGGATGGATATGCTTCGGCGATACATCACTCAACCTAGACATTACCATAATTGGAGAAGTGTTATCTAGGTTACATACAGTAGTAGACTTAGGACTTAGATATTAAAACAGACCTCTGAGTCTCAACGTCTAATAGGTTACATAACTCGAAATCTTTACAACACTGAGTCACGTATTCGAATGTACAAAGTTTGTGCTCGACCTCTTCTAGAATATTGCACGTTTATTCTTAGCAGTGCGCGCATAAAGGATAAATTAAGGCTGGAATCAGTACAGAGACGATTTACACTTCGTATTCTTGGAGCTGATTGTACCTTAACTTATAGTTCTAGATGTATTAAACTTCGGCTAGATCCCTTATGGAGGAGGAGACTCAAACTAAATCTTATCTTTTTCTTCAAAAAACTTCATAAACTATCGTTTAGATCCAATCATGCGATTCAATATGCAGAAACTTCTCATTATGACATCCGTAATTCCTTGGCACTAGTGAAACAAACTCATTCCGAATCATCTCTTTATATGAATTACTTCACCTGTAAATTTTCTAGACTCTGGAATAACCTACCACAATCTATCCGTACGATAAAATCACTCCCATTATTTGTTCGCTGCACCGATGCATACTGCTCCTCTGAAAATGCATTGAATGGTCTAGCACCTGTAAGTGTATCTCATTCCACAAGTAGTATTATAAGTACTTTAAATGTTTAGCCATTTTTTATTAGTGCATTCCCTAAGTAAAACCACTTACTTGCCGTAACTTTATGGTAAAATCGTCCCCAGAAAGTTTAACTAATTTGAATAACACCAACAGTATATCACTGTATCATATGGCACACGCATTTAGGTAGACCTGATTCATATATTTTGGTAAGTACCGCTTTGTTGTTCCGTGCTCTCTGTTTTCGTTTTAATTTCTCTAGTTGTAGATAATTATCATTAATTCGATCTGGCACACGAAATGACCTTAATTACTCCGTCCATAAATCAACGGGCTGTCCATTTAAGAAATATTAAAAATTCCCGGCTGATACATTGGATCTCTGTAATACATGTACATGTACTGAACTAGTATACTTAAAACCCACTTCTATCACATGTTTGTTCTGTACATCTAATGTTACTATTTATATCAAATTGATCATGCCTGTAAACTGGCGTGAATTCTTTAATTATTATTTTCAGAATATAAATTATTATTATATTTTAACTAGAATCATGAATCGATCAATGTTAGACCATTATTGAGAACCTAGAAGCACTGGACGATCGTTTCGTCCCAGTATGGGACTCCTCAGCAGAAGGCATCCACGATCCTGCACGCGGGATTCGAACCGATTTCTTCACTGTATGACAGATGATTTGGGTACCCAATTTTCAAGCTTGGAAACGTCTAGTACTTATGAATCACTAAACATTAATATTATTGATTCTTACACTATCACTAAAGTCAAAACTGTAAGTCTTAAAAATCGGTACACGACGAAAATACATTAAAAATGAATCCAGCTAGCTTTAAATAATGTAATTAGAAGGCCTTCAATATATTTATGTATATTCATGGATGAAAGTAGGTATTGTTCAACTTATATAATAAAATTAGTGCATTAGTATTTTGTCTTAATATAACATTGAAAAAGGAGCAATTAAATAAACATAGTAATTATGTAAATATGCATTAGAAAAGTTACGAAACCAATACTAAAATGATAAATTATTACCGACTGTATTAACAATGAAAGATCTATACTAATTACAGTCAAATATGCTTATATATATTAGTAAGAATGTACAGTGATGGAAGGAAATATATGACTAGGTGCATTTGCTTTTTGTCCCCATATTGGTGCAAAAACAGTTGATAATACTTTGAAAAAGGTTCATTCAGTGCAAGAATAGAACAAAAATAATAGTAGTTACTATGTAAGGGGTAACATTAAATGTAACATATCTGTCTAATGTAAGACAAACTAAACAATGGAGTCATGGGATCATTCCATACGAAGTTGCCCCCGAGTGCCCTGGTACGGCCGAGAGTGGGGAGAGTCCGCTCTCCCTCTCGAAATGCTCTCACATGGCCACGCGTATATAGCCTCTGCCAGGGAAGTCCTACTCACTTCCTTCTCGTGGCGGGGGTGTTGTTTACGAAAATGAGAGGACGAAAAACGAATGTCCGACGCTTTAACCGGATTCCAAACCATTGGTGCACATAGGCTCCAGTATCCTGAATGAACAAATGGCGTATGAACTAATCGTTGGTTACCAGCTACCATGGGACTGCATCTCCTTACGATGCTCCACTCCCTTGTGGATCAGACCTTCAGGTCGAAGGCTCGGGGAGTGGCCCCCTAAGAAAACCACCTGCTTCGGTTTGGGCACCCGGGCAGTATCACAGCCTTCACACATCGAATGAGATTTGTGTGGCGCATATGTATTTGGTGCCTCCTTGTACCAATATCTATGTGTTAAAATAAATAAATAATACGAAGTTATATGCAAGGTAAGGGAAAAGGAAGTTCTACAACCATGCTTTTATCGAATAATCAAAAACCAAACAGTATTTTACTATACCCTTAAAAGTATTCCATTGTAATTGTATAAGTTGCACAATCGACTATCCGATTCAAAAAAGATCATGATCATAATTCGCGTAATAAATAAAGTTTCGCAAACTTGGTTTTAAGGTATACTTTGTACAATAACTGCCCTCAAATGTCCTGGTACAGACAAGAGTGGGGAGAGTCGGCTCTCCCTCTCTAAATGTTCTCACATAACCACGTGCATACAACCACTGCCAGGCAAGTCCTACTCACTGGCTTCTCACGGCATTACAGTTGTTTCCGAAATTGAGAGTACGAAAAGAAAATGTCCGGTGCTCTAACCGGGTTGGTGGACACGGAGAGTCCACCTAGAGGAGTTGGAAAACCCTGATTTCAAAACAATCGTGCATATGGGCTCTAGGATCCTAAGGGAAGAGATGGCATATGAACCCATTGTTGGTCACTGGCTACCATGGGACTGCATCTATTGGCGTTGCTCCACTACCTTGTGGATAAGACCTTCAGGTCAAATGCTTCAGGTGTGGCCCCCTAAGAAAACCACCTGCTTCAGTTTGAGTACCCGGGCAGTATCCCAGCCCTCACACAAATTGAATAATTTATGTGGCGCATATATATTTGGTTCCCGTTTGTACCAATATTTATGTGTTCAAATAGTAAATTGTACAAGAACTAATGATACTACATAACTTCTTTAAATGAAATAAACGATATGAGGTTCGAAGATGTAAACTACGTGGTAGGATGTCAAATGCTTTGAATTCTGAACCACGAGTATACATAGTGAGAAGTGTATTATTTGGTAGTCTTTCTATTATGGATGGTGATGGAACCGAATGGTCTTACTTAAATGAGTTTACAATGTATTTAAGTACTAGCTTAATGAGTTGTTTTTTGGTAAATATTTTAAGACTAATGAAGCTTCCAAATCCTTCTAAACAAATAGCTGACGAAGAGGTGTGTACACTCTAATCTAATCATTACTATTAAAACCTACGGATATGATAGAATGATTGGATTAAAAGATAGATTACCTAAAAGCCGATTCAAAAAGGTTAGTTGTATCGACTTGAGAAAGCTACAAACCACAACTGGCAGCAGAAGTTATAAAAATCAAATTCAAAAAGCTTGGAGAACTCACTTGGGCAAGGCTGACATTACAGTAAGCAAGTGTCTTGTATCCTAAATTCACAGCTTTGCTTTTGTACTTTTTACGACGTTGGAGTAAAATTTGAAGCGTATTAGAGTCACGAGTCAGGAAATGTGAATACTGAATATTGCACGTGAAGTCAATAAGAACCGAAACGCCACCGCCAACTAAGGATCCAGGTGTGTTGAGGGAAAGAGAACATCCTCCCTGACCGGTTGAGTCGCCGCAGCCGATCTCAGTCGGATTATGTTGGACATTGTTTGAATGAAAGTTTGCAACCCCATTTTGTGGCTGTGAAGCACGTGGACAAATAAGAGTGATCTCAGGCGAACGTAAAACCCGACGAGCTGTACCACGCATTCGAACGACTACATAAAATCCTGTGTTTGGGCATTCAGGTTCAATAGGCCTATCCAATATTATTTGCACCAAACTAAGGCTACAGAGTCTGAGAAAAAAAAATTTACCCGCATTGGAAAGATTTATATATCAAAGCAAAAAATATTTTCGTAATTAAGAGATCTGTAACTGTGAAATGAAAAATGAAGTAAAGCAATAAACCGGAGTAATAAGACAGAACAGAGATCAGTTGCAGCAAACTAATAGGACACTAAACAAGTGTAATTCCTCCAGTATGGGAAACTGGTAGTATCACTATCTGATGTACAAACCGTGGCTTATAGGTGAGTACATGAACCTTTACTTGGTTACTGCAAATTAGTCACAATTTGAGATGTTGGTAAATACAATATAATGACCTACTGATTAGATGACTAGACATATATGGAACAATCGTGAATACTGAATAAGGTTTGAACTGTTCAATATCAGGAAGAATATGTTAGTCTATTTGAGAAAAATGTAATCTCAAACTTAGCGCTTGCTCTAAGTAAACTGAGCAAGTTATAAGTGTGAACTTATTGGCGAGAAATGTGGAATAAAGTTCTGAAAGAATTCCAGTAAACTATAAGAAACTACACACATCCTAAATGTTTAGTGTTAATAAAATTTGAACGAAGGTGTGTCAAGTCGTTTTTTGCCTTTAGATATAACACTAAAATTACGACAGGTATGTGCGGCTTTTAGTCGCACCAAGTACGTTTTCATAAATATGGTTCCCACTACCAATAGAAGAAAGTATGACGGATATGAGAAGTGTTAAAGACATGAAAGATGGGCAGATGATAGTTTAACTACGTGAGATATGACCATGTCTCAACCTTTTGCAGTTTTCTGTACACGAGTTATATTTTATTTACGAACTGTTAACATGAAAGCATCATTTCAGTTATTGTATTTAGATAATTGGATCAAGCCACCCACTTCATGTCTAAAGAACCCAAAAATCTGCAATAACAGTAGGTTAAGCCTCAAATTATCCTTAGGTGATTGGTTTAAGCTCTTAAATACTTCTTATTTCAAGAAAATAAGAAACTAACAGCAATAATTTAAGTATTGAACTGATCGTTTTCGTCCATTATGTCTCACATTTGAGAATGTAACAATACGATGACTTTTTGTTGAGGGTGTCATAAAATTCAAACTAAAACTCCATAGTGTTACTGCAAAAAAATAATTTAGGCCTAGTAGACTTAATATTCTCTTCCTACAGACCGAGTTCGTATTGCACTGATTTTCTATCAGTGGTCTTTAACAAGAAGAAAAAACTGAATCACCTCGGAATGGCATTCGATGAGGACTTTTCAGCTTCCCATGAAGCAGACATTTTCATGGAAATCATCCCGACATTCGACATCGCTTACAACTCCCACCGCAAGGTCATCTGCGAGTCAGACTTGTTTACGCGCCTCTGTGAAGGTCATTTTCGAACCTTCATATACAATACTAATTAATTGATTCTACTACGGTTTCTAGATGTTTTTGACTTGAAATTTGCTTATACGATCAGTATTTATAATATCTGAAAAGGCGTTTTTACTTTGATGTTGTGTACAGTGTAATCTTCAATCTACACGGAAGAATGTACATCCAAAGTCCCTTAGGGGATATGCATATATTTATGGTTTTGGGTGAGGTATTTGGTGGTACGTAACCCTGCTTCAGGGATGAGTAGGTATTATTCGGTAGATTTGTTGGGGACTGCTGGGAAGGAGGGATTCGGACATTTGAATTTTATGCAAACCTCACGGAGATGTAAACCGTGGTCTACAAAATACGAACAAGTCTTACACTTAAGACATGGAAAAAAGGTCAACAGCTAAATAAAAAGATGTTCTCCACACTTTCGATGAACAAGCGTGAGATCTTCTAAAGATAAGACAGGTCACATTCATCCATTAATGGTTGGATGATATATACATACTTGTGTCCATTATGAAGATACTGGGCTTGGATACGAATTTTCCCGAACGCATGTTTAGCCAGTTTCATTAACTGGCGTGCAACATTTCAGTGGAAAAATCGTTGTACAGCAGAACTGAATGAACATAACTTTACTAAAATAATAGTTTGTATAGATTGCTAACAGCGTTAGACCTCTTTATAAATGAACTGAAGTTATGTCGGTATTTGCACTAGAATGAACAGCAGTTGTATTAGAATGAAAATGACACCGATGCTAGAGTATCACTGAATTTCACAACAACCAAGTATATGCAGCGCTGAACTAAACTGATATAAGCTATACTGTGCTCGTAGGACTGTAGGCTAATTCGTTATTAGTACATTTAACTTTGCCACTAAGAATAATAGACCTAGTCCCAAAATAGTAGATTTGTCATGATGTGACTACCCAATTTATAAGGCTTTACGTAGAAGTCACATCACTATCTACATTAACTCGTCTTATCGTCAAAATCAGCAATATTACATCTGGCACTACTGAGAAACACATTTGAGCTGAGAAGAGAGTAACATCTTGCACTCTAACTCCAGATACTCTTGGCGGAGTAGTATTGGCTACTCACCCACATTTTCCATCAAACTCCGTCTTGGGTAATCCTTGCAGTCGCCTCCAGTTGGTACTCACTCTCTTAATGTCTGCTTCCAATTCTCGATGCAGTGTGTTCTTTGAACCTTCACTTTTCCGTTCCTCTTCAGGATTCCACGTTGAGGCTTGCTTCTTGATGCAGTTCGATGATTTTTGCAACTCATTTCTTATCGACTTCCAGCGTCTCTTTCTAAGTTCCTCTTCAGATAGTAGCTAGTTTGTTCTCTTCAACAGTAGGTTGTTGCTGATAGTATCCAGTCAATGGACATTGAGTATCGGGTACATGAAATACTCCACCTTTTCTAACGTGTGTGTGTGATTGAGTTGGTGTTCTCTGTGTTGTATTTGGGGATCTCGCTTTCCCTCTTGTGTATATCGAGGCCTATTGGTGAGGAGGCTGCTGGCAGACTGGTTGTCTTGACCTGCGTTCGTTAAGGAGATCTTAGTCATCTTTTATGTCCAAATCGTCTTGCTGTATGCATGCCGTTCATTGTATTCCGTGCTTCCCTTCGAATATGGAAGCCTTCATAATCCTGTCAACCTTCAGACGAAAGAGGGAGGAGGAGATTAAGCAGTTTCGTCTGACTTCGGAATGCACCTGTCAGCTATCATCTATGCACGAATTTGCACTGTAGTCCGTCGAATAAATTCTAGATGATGTTGACCATCGTCTCAGGTTCACCACAGTGTCGAAGAACTTTCCATAAAGTCATCCTACTCACACAGTAAAACATTTTCTCATAGTCAATGAAAACGACGCATAGTGACGAATTCCATTGAACTCACTGTTCAGCGATGATCAGTGGTGTCGCAATTCGGTTTGTGCACGACCAATCATTACGGAATCCACCCCGTTGATCTCGAAGTTAGGCGTCTCTCATTTGGCTCAGCAACATTTCCTGGTAATGACAGTAGTGTGATATCTTTGCAGTTCTCACACTTGCCGAAACCTCCTTTCTTCGGTATTTTTATGAGGTATCCTTATTTCCAGTCTATCGGCACTCGATCTTCCTCTCAAATATTCCGGAATAGAATGTAGAGCATACTTACATTTACTACTATCTCTGACTTCGATACTTCTGATTTCACACTCTTGATTTGTTTGGTGGCCACCCTGAATTCTTCGGCAGTTAGTGGAGTGACATCTAAAGGAAGGTCTGTGTGTGCTGCTTCAATGTCTGGTGGATTCAATAACGCTAGTTTATTTAAGATTACTCAAGTGTTCTACTCACTTGTTCCTTTGTGCTTGAGGTCCAGAATATGCTGACATGTTGAAGATAGTGCTTCTGTGATCCCTTTCCAGTTGCCTGCCATAGTAGTTTCTCTTTCTTTGAGTGCACCTTGTAGAGCTTGGAACCTGCTATCATGTTCATTTTTCGAATGTTCGGTGTTTCTTTAGCTTCAATTTCATCTTGGCATCCAGTCAAAAGCTATGTCGACTCCCTGTTCGGTTCTCATATCGTCCACTGACATTCTGAATCTTTCAATGATATAAATATTATTTGGTTCTCTGTTGTGTGATCTGGTGACGTCCATGTTTCTTTGTGCATGCATTTGTGCGAAAATATTGTGCAGCCTATAACCATTTTATTGAATGCACATAAATTTGTAAATCTGCCACCATTCTCGTCTTTTTCTCTCAGTCAATTTTGTCCCACCAAATCTTCTTATACGGTGTTGTCTATTCCGACTTTCACGTTTAGGTCTCCTCCCAGGATAGTCAGGTCCCTTCTTAAGCACTTCTTTACGATCGCTTGCAGACTCTCGCAAAACTTGTTTTTATCGTCGTCAGTGATATCATTAGTGGGTGTATAATTCCCAATAACATTTATTGTGATTCTTTCCTTCTTTGTATGAAGGATGTTTAAATGAATTTATAACTACAAAACTCCCCTTCTATAAGTGCTCTTCGTGCATTTTTGCACAGCATTGGAGTGACTCCCTGAGTGTGTGGAGCATTTTGTTCTTTGTGACCCAAGTACAATAGCATCTCTCCCGAATCTAACCTTTTCTGTCCAGCTTTGATCCAATAGGTTTTACTGATTCTGGAAACCACCAATTTGTATCTCCTTATTTCTGTAGCTATTTGATCGGTACTCTCAGTCCCCCACATTGTCCGGACGTCCCATTTACCTATATTGTTTGTCGTTCTCGTTGTTAGAAAAGATATGGTCCTCGTGATTTCTGAAGAATCTCGGCTTTCGGCGGGAGGTGTCATAATTCTTCTGAATGATGATCGTACAAGTCCTAGGGTAGAATTCGGGTGGTTTATATTGTTTACGCTGGTAAACGTTGCTTTACCAGCGTTACATTCTGTGTGATGGCGTTGTTGACCCAATGTCCAAAGCACTCTTTCAACCTGGCTTGTGACCGCCAGTAACCCTAAAAGGGCTACAGGTGGAGTTAAGAGAGTAATGTACTTGATACGGAAATCAAGACGTTTTAAAGAGTACCACTCCTGGATGACCAATCCATGCCATTTGGATTTCTCGTAGCCACGTTCATTATTGTCGACCTTCTCTCTGTGTTGCAAGTTGAATGTGCTCGGCTTCAGAGATCGTGTGGTTAGGAAACAGACATATACAGGGAACCAAAAAAAGAAATATTAGAAAGATGTAGGTATAATTAATTCGAACTATTTACATAACTGAGGGCAAGCTGACCAGTGGAATCAAAGTGAAATGGTCGGTCAGATTTTGTACTCCGAAATAAGTATAAAGTTGTGTAGATTTAACATGTCAACATTAAACATCATAGTAACTTTGGAACCAAAAGCGACTATAAATATTTGTATACACTGTGTGCCTGATGTTTATGGTCGAACGATGTTCACCATTTATGGTAGATCTAAGTAAATGTCAGAGCGATTACCTGTTTTCTAGTCATTCATATATTTATTTTGGCATACGCATCAACACCTGCAGTTTGATTATTCACAGGTATATTTACGACGTTGTGAGACTTAAGTTTTTACGTACTACGGCACTTTGAACTCTGAATATCCCGTACCAGTGTTTCTATCTAACGTACAGGACACCACTTTACAGACTATGCAGAGATCATCTACAGTTGACACGCGAACAGCGAATGTAAAGTGTGAACCACCGGTATACTTGACAAGTGTTTTGCGACTGAAATTGGACTGGGGGTCGCCATCTATTATTAACGGATTTTAAACAGCTTGATAAAAATTGTTTCACTAGTTTTATTCAAGTTCGGGTAAGAAAATTTCTCAACTTCATGAAGTCAGTCATCATCTGGTATCAATGAATTTGATTAACTGATGCAATATTCTCTGTTTCGTCCCTCCAAATGATGTACATTTATTCTCCATAACTTCGGTGTAGCTGGTAAATATTGGATTGCTGAAAACTTCGGTGCAAAAATATAATAGAACATTGAATCTGTTAAAAGCTTGATATTATAGACTGCCACTTGACTCCTTTTGTCAGTGAAGTTATTCTTCCGCCTGCTTATGCAGTATTTGTTTGAAGTTGATTGCTATATATATAGTTTTACAATAAATACTCTTAAAATTGTTCGCTTTATTTATTCTCTCTGATGTGGTAACCGCAGCTTATCATCTAAGTCCTCTGAATTTCTGATGATTGCTCAACAAATTCAGTTATGGAATAGTAGTTGATAAAGGCGCTTTTTATGGGTTATGAACCCCAATAGTTCTAGTTTAATATGATTGTATCCATTGTCAAGCTTGCAACGAACGTTAACTATTTTTCATATTACTCACTTAAGACCATTTCCACTTTTTATAATGTAGACAGATACAGCTCTATGAATGGCACAATTTAGTGGCATTAAACGTCATCAAACATAGGTTATAGTACAAGCCAG